CCCAATAGTGGTAGACTAGTGATGCTTTCCGTGCACCTTGGCATCTAGTCAGCCGGCCACATGATTAGAAGAAGAAGAGAAGAGAAGAGATTGGATTTATACCCCGCCCTTCACTACCCAAAGGTGTCTCAGAGCGGCTTATAAACTCCTTTCCCTTCCCCTCCCCACAACACACCCTGTGAGGTAGGTGGGGCTGAGAGAACTCTTGACAGAAACTGCTCTTTTTCAAGGACAGCTCTTGTCAGAGTTATGGCTTGCCCAAGGTCATCCAGCCAGGTGCAAGTGGAGGAGTGGGGAATCAAACCCGGTTCTCCCAGATTAGAGTCCGCGCACTTAACCACTACACCAAACTGGCGGAAATGTCTTTGGACGGCGCTGGCCCTTCGGCTTGGAAATGGAGATGAGCACTGCAACCCTAGAGTCGGATTCAACTGGCTTTCGGGCAAAGGAAACCTTTACCTTTACTTTAGTGATGCTATCATTGGTGGTGGGAAAGACTTGCCTGTGGACATGATTTTTTAAAAATAATGTGATGTTTTAAAAATGTATGTAAAACTGTGTGTACTTTTATGAAAAGAGCAAGAGTTCAGTAGCACCTTAAAGACTATAAAAATGTGGCAGGGTATGAGGTTTTGTGAGTCACAGCTCACATCTTCAGATACAGCTAGACTGCGAGTCCATCTATCCTTATATCTGTCTCTTAGATATAAGGACAGATGGACTCACATTCTAGCTGTACCTGAAGAAGTGAGCAGTGACTCACGAAAGCTCAGACTCGGCCACAAAGTTTGTTACTCTTTAAGATGCTACTGGACTCTTGCTCTTTTCTACTGCTACAGACAGACAAACACAGCTACCCATCTTGTACTTTTGTAACTATGCACAGCTTCAGTGCTTTAAAAATTGTTTAAAATTCAGTTCATTACCAGCTATATACATATTTCAACTCAGCTGAAACGTTTCTCAGATTGTGAGAATGTTCACAGATACTCTAATGAAGCATTCTTCTAAGCCAGACATGCACTTGCCCCATTTCCGCACTGCCCTCCTAAAGGGTTCCCAGCTCCCTGGAGGAGCTTTTCCGTTTACTCTTCAGTAGATGCCGACACCACTTGAGCAATATAGGGATTTCCCATTGAAGGGATCAGGACCCTCAACTCCTCTTCCAAGCTCAGAGGCCTTACCTCAGTGTCTCCCACTAGCACAGTGCCTGGCTACCATGGGGACAGATTAATGCTTTGTGTGCCCCTAGGGGAATAGCCAGTTGCCAACTGCTTGCATACCCCCCTGTGGGGTTCCCTTTTAAAATAGCATGTCTGAAACAGTGGGGGTCTGTGTGGTACAGAGGACCATTCCTCACACCAACAAGCATATTTTTAGCACTGCACTAGATTGAAGCAAGGAAGAACAAAATAAATTGGTAAAATGCAAATCCTCTGTCCCTCTGCTATACGACTCCTCACTGATGGGAAAATAGGACAGGACCTAGCTTGCTCCCAGCTCTTTAGGCTAACCCCATGCTCCAAAATGGCTCTCAACCTCAGACAACAGGTCTGTTCAGCTCAGCATCCTAAGGAAAAGAGAGCTATTTCCTGGTGCTCAGGGAATTTATCCTCTCTGTTCCTTCTCTCCCTTGACCCTGGTCAGCCCAGGTCAAGGCTTCTTTTCCTGTTGTCTCCAGGAAGTTCCTTCCTGAAAACCTATCTAGCATAAAGTCTTCCCTGCTCCTATTCCATCAGGAAAAGGAGAGGGAGAAGGGGGACAGCTTGACCATCCCGTTGTCTCTCCATTAGCGTTTGTATGAAGGTGGCTGATCTCCTCCCCCCTTCCTTGCCTGCTCCCAAGCTCAGAAAGAGAGAGAGAAAACATTTAAAAGCACACAGTGAAGGCTTTTGCTGCTTGCAAACTATCCAGGAGACAAGGCATTTCTTCACAGTAGTTAACACTTATAATGGAAACATTCCATTCAGAATGCTATTACTGTAGAAAACCCAGCAATCTCTTATCTCCTTAGAAGAAGAGGCACATAAATAATAAACTGAACTAGAACATACGGAAGTGCTTCATCTATAGTCCCAGATGTTTAGATTTACCCTGTGGCAGTGGCATGTTATGTATAAGAACTTTTTAAAAAATAGATAAAATTGTCTTGAAGTAAACCCGTCAGGTGTAGTGGTTCAACCTCTGTGGTGTAGTGGTACAAATATCAGCCTTGAACAGGAGAGAATAGGCTACAAAACTTTATTTGATCATGAAACTCATGGGTGATCTTAGAACAACGTCTCTCTTTAGCTACTTCCACATGAATGTTTTGCTCCACTGCTGTTCCACATGGAGTGCTGGAACACCTCCACACAGGGCTTTTTCTTTTTTCTTTAAAAAAAAAAGGGTCCAGAACTCTCAAGAGGGAAATGAAGATTTCAATCTGTATCCTGAAAACTCATGAACTTGTAAACATTTTAAAAAAGAATTTTGTCAAAGAGGTTCTGGAACTCCATTCCGGCACATTCCCCCAGAAAAAAAACCCTGCCTCCACACAACATTATCTTTGAAATGTCCTCCATTTGTTCAATGTTTCCCAAACCTGTTTAGCCACAACCTGTATTAGTACATTTGCCCTCCATCTGGAAGGGAAGGTGCACATCTTCAAAAGGTCCAACCAACATTTGGCACCATACTCCTGTCAGCCCTTTGTGGTCACTGTTTGCACTGTAGCACCTCCAGAGGGCTTTTAGAAATATGGGCAATTGCTATTTTACTATAATGCAATAACATTACGTGAGGAGGTGATGAGCCAGGTGTCCCCTCGGGCACTCCCAATGCCATCCCATGTTCCACTCCCCTGGGAGAAGTAGCCTCAGTGCAGTCAGAGCAAGACTGAGAGAAGAGTTTCAGTCACTCCCATTTACCCTTTTTTTGGCTCTTCTCCCCGCTGGCATCTCTCAGCAGTCAGAGTATCCACCCACCCACCTCCTCCTTGGCTGTCTGAGCTCCCTTTTAAGAGTTCCACCTGCAATGGTGTAGTCCCACAGCCAGTCCCCAACTCATCATAGCAAGCAACATCACTTAGGAAACTCCCTGGCAGGAAGAGCCCTGCCCTTGCCAGTGGGGAAATCCCCACCTGTCTCCCAGACCAATGAGATCAGCTAATGAGGAAAGCCCCATCCCTCTCCCAGGACAAGACACTGATTTCCTCATCAGAGGTGATTGTGCCTCCTTTTTCCTTCCCCTCATCATCTGGGCGGGAGCAGCCTCTTAGGGACAAAGGCAGAGCCAGGCATCTCTGCTGACTCCACGCTCATCCCTCAAGTCCAAACTCCGTTGACAAACTCCTCATATGGAGTGGATTCTGCCCCAGCTCTTCTTGAGTAAATCTGGGAAACCAGAGGGGGATTCCAGACAGATTACAACCTATCACCACAATCTACTAGTTTCTCCAAATCTCTGTCTTTCATTAAACAAAAAGTCGCTAGGTTTTTTTAGTTGCAAAGATATAAAAGAAAAGGTATGAGCAGTCTTGGTCCAGATTCCCTGGAAAAACATGGGGAGGGCAAGCTGCAGCTAGGTGGGAATTCACCAATGGTTCAATCAATCAGTCATGGGGATAAAGTTTGAGTCCAGTGGCACCTTTAAGACCAACAAAGTTTTATTTAAGGTATAAGATTTTGTGTGCAAGCACACACACTGGCCCCATCACTCCTTGGCAAGAAGGGGAAGTCGTGGAAGTGACAGACTTCATGTTCCTGGGATCCAAGATCACTGCAGATGGTGACTGCAGCCATGAAATTAAAAGACGCCTGCTCCTTGGGAGGAAAGCGATGGCAAACCTAGACAGCATAATAAAGAATAGAGACATCACCCTGGCAACAAAAGTCTGTATGGTCAAAGCAATGGTATTCCCAGTAGTGATGTATGGCTGCGAGAGTTGGACTATAAGGAAGGCTGAGCGCCAAAGAATAGATGCTTTTGAATTATGGTGCTGGAGAAGACTCTTGAGAGTCCCTTGAACTGCAAGGAGATCAAATCAGTCAATCCTAAAAGTAATCAACCCTGACTGTTCCCTGGAAGGCCAGATACTGAAGCTGAAGCTCAAATACTTTGGCCACCAAATGAGAAGGGAGCACTCACTGGAGAAGACCCTGATGCCGGGAAAGATTGAAGGTCAAAGAAGAAGGGGACGGCAAAGGATGAGATGGTTAGACAGTGTCATCGAGGCAACGAACATGAAATTAAGCAAACTCCGGAGCACGACGGAAGACAGGAGGGCCTGGTGTGATGTCCTCATCAGAGGTCCATGGGGTTGCGAAGAGTCGGACTCGACTGTGCGACTGAACAACAACAACAACACTTCCTCAGACAAATTGAAACAAAATTTCTTCAAGCCTTACATACAGGAAGATGGAGGGGGGCCCATCAGGAAGGACTAGTCAGAGTGAAGATGCATAATTGAAGCTGAGATTGGATCAAGGTGGCAAGATCAATGAAAGGCAGCAAATTAGCACACCAATGCGAGAGCCTGGGTCCAGCAGCACCCCCAAGACCAACCAAGCTCAACCCTGGGTACATGCAAGAAGGGGGAAGATTCTGCATGTGTAGATGCACACTTCTTCAAATATATAGAAACATTACATACAGGTAGGGGGGTCTTTACCTTTACCTTTTTAGAGGGGGTTAGTTGCTAAACTACAATCAAGGGGATGTTCCACTGCTGCTGCAAAGCAGTGATAATGAAAACAACATGGAGAATCATCACTGTTTGGCCCTAGCATCCAAGACTTCAAAAGATTGCTGTGGTAATACGATGCACTGTGAAACAAAATTAGAAATTCCTTTTCTCAAAATGAAGATTTAAAAGAAAGATTAAATGTATTCAGTGGCCAATTTTCAATCTTACATACAAACTTTCACAAAACTCACCCAATTGTTTTTAAAACCCCTGTACAGAATCTAGTTTTGGTCTGATGTCTTACAACAAGGAAGTTTCAGTTCTGCACATTCAATAATTTGAAAATCTTTATTGGTGTTAACATAAGCCATTTCTCTTACATAAGTACACTGCTGAAGTCCTACATATACTGAGCCTCTGTCCAGTATTTACCAGATATTAGTGATGCATTTAGCTACATGCAAGAGCATTTTAACATGTTAGCATCCTGATGTTTGCTTGGCTCCATGGGAAATTCATTTTCAGCAGCGGAATTTCTGCTTTATTTTTTTCTTGAATATATGTTTAGAAATAGCACTGGCCTCTCAAGTCTCCCAATATGTGACCAACAGAAATGTTTGAATAATGAGTTGCATCTTGTTTGATCATGTTTCAGAGAATTTTAAAATGACACAGATGTTATTTCACTATTATTTTAAACTTATTCTGAGAAAAAGAGCCTTGTCCAAAGCAATACTGATACTCTCTCATTCCCTAAACAGTGCTTTGTTTATAGGAAAACAAACTAACAGTGCAATCATAAACTGAATTACATCCTTCTAAATCCACTGAAGTGCAACTACACTGCTAGCCTCAGTCTAAAAGAGAATGGGCACAATCCAGAGAAAATTAAGCATCCCTAACTCCCTCTGAAATAAACAAGACTTGGCTTCAGCACTAAGCACATTCACTAGGAATAATGTCCTACCGAACATGGTATGACATACTTTTGAGTAGACAGTCTGCTTATAGAGCACTCAATATTTTGATTTCAATTGGACTGGAACATGACAAACTTTCTTTGGATTATTCATATTGGCTGTGATCCAATGGGTTTCTTGTGAGACCAGAAGGCCCATGTGAAATTGATAAACATTCAGGGCATGATGTTGGATTTGAACTTCTGTTTCGTGAAGAGCTCTTTTAACTGATCTTGACTTGTGGCTTCTTTCTGCTGCATCAGCTCAGCATCTCCTTTGGTCACGCCCCAGCCATCTGGCTTTGAAAGTGAGGGGCAATAGGGTCGACCTGAAGCAGGCAACAGATTTTCCCAGTATTCTTTCCTCGCCCTAGGTTATATAAAAAAGAAAAAACCTGTTGTACGTATACATAATCAAAGAGGGCTTTATACAGGCTATACTTCAAACTACCTCATTAGTAACAAGATCCAGTTTCTGACCAACAGCAATTAAGTAATTATGTAATACATTAAATCAGGGTATCAATCATTAAAACCATAGACTTTCCAAGGATTCCTAGAACTGACGGACATAATTCCTGGGTTTAACCCAGAAGTAACGTTGTTCTGTCAGTCGATTGTGGCCTCTCTATGTCCTCACCCACTTGACTCCCGCTGGTTGGTAATGGCTGGCAACTCTAGTTCTGTTTGAGATCTTCTGGATACCTCCCCGCATGTTTTAAACATGGTTTTATTCAGGAGAACTTATCCGGCACACAAGAAGTAATAATTCTTACTGAATCCAATATATTCAGATTTACTAATCATGGAATAGCTGCCAGCCAAAATTGGAATGAGCAGCTTTTCTGTAGTCACTAAATCTGAGGAAACTTAAAAGTGCATAGCTGTTGAATAAGTCCATTTACTTTGCAGTAAACCATAAGAGATTTAATTCAGCCAGAATATTAACCTTAATTTATGCACTGAGGAATGCCTTGTACCCACTGATTTTGTCCTGCTATTTAGGCTTATAAATCTTCCCTTTCAAGCCTGTTCTTGTGCACGTAGCTCTGTCCGAGAACACTGAACATTCTACAACTTCTCAGCAATCTTCTAAGCTGCGTTTCCTAAATAATTTGCTATGAGTCAAAAAAAATTCTAGAACAAAAATGATTTACTGGGCTATTTTAGTCTCTCAGCTCAAATATACTGACCTTGCTCTGATCCAGGGTTTGGTATGCATGCTCAAACCGTTCCCCCAGCTGCCATGTTTTTCAGAAGCTTGCGGCAAAAACCCTCTTTCTGAAGCCAACTCCTCAGCAATTGCTCTGATGTGATATGGTTCAAAGCCACAGCAGCCGCCAATATATCGGATCCCTAAATTGTAGGCTTCTCTTGCATATTTGTGTACATCCCATCTGGTAAGAATCCTTGGCTCCAAAGCTGTAATGATAAAATAATTGTTTTAGCTTCACTCTTGCCTGGGTATTTTACATAGAATTTGTAAAGCTATTATGATTATCCCCCCAAAATTTCAGAACATATTCATTCTGTTTGGAGTTCATTAACCAGACTGGGAAACAAATATGCCATTATTCACTACTTTTTACTTTTTAAATAGTTTCTTGGTAGTGGCAAGAACTCAGCCTTAAACTCTGGGAACAGCCTCTCTTCTAAGGTACCTGAAGTCAAAGCCAATTTGAAGAACCATCCTGGGAGGAGCTGTTCCAAAATTATGGACAGACTCTGCCTACAGGAACCCAAGTTTTCTTTTTTTGGCAGCACACTTATTTTTCCAATCCCCAGACTTGCAGAAATTTTCAAATTTTAGTTAGGAGAGAGGTACAGCATAGGAGAAAGACAGTGGTGAAAGAAAGCAAATTTAGCTCCTTCCTGCTCTGCAAAGAGCTCAAATGCCATAGTAAGGTCACATACTGCAAAAATCTGTATGAGCCAGGAAGTGAATCCCTACCGTGCACTTCTGTTTCCAGTTCCTACATCCAGCACACTTCACTGACAGAGGGCCAAGCTACACCTGTCAGTCACATATAGTTTATAGTAATTAAAAATAAAATAAAATACAACCACTGAACCTGAAATCTAATATCAAAGTTCCACTAGGGTGGGGAAAAGTTTTCTACAACCTCTTTGCCCTCAGGCAATTTTTCTCCTAAAAACCTTGCCGTGGGGAGGGGGGGGCGTGCTTGTGTGTGTGGTTTTGATATTTTTATATGAGGTGTAATTGGGCCCCTATATGTTTTTTAATTCTTTACAAATAAATACATGTATTTTTTATATTATATATCTTAATTTTTAATTCTCGGCCCTCTATTCTGTTTTACTTACCTTTTTAGGTTCTTGAGCCTAGGTTTCAGGGTTAAGTTTGTTTTCCTTTTTTGTTCACAGCCAATTCTACCTAAGACACAATCCCATACTGCATTATGTTGTGTGGGTTTTGGGCGGGGGGGGGGATCTCATATTCATTGCAGTTAATGAACATGGCTTGCCTTTGCCTTAAATTTTAAGTATTTTAACATCAATTCCGATCTTATGAATATACTTGCAGAAGAAAACTCATTAAAAAAGAGCAAGAGTCCAGTAGCACCCTAAAAACTAACAAAATTTGTGGCAGGGTATGAGCTTTTGTGAGTCATTGCTCACTTCTTCAGAAAACTCATCTGAGTCAGCCAATTAAAAGACTGTAACCTTAAGAGTGTCTGATGTAGCACATAAACTCTTACCAAAAGGAAATTCTGGTAGATCAATGAAACCTTGCTTCCCACAGTCAGGTGTATGAAATGCAAGTGGCTGTGACATCAGATACGCTTTTAGCTTAGCCGCTTGCAAGCCTTCTTTCATGAGCTTCACTGTTTTGAGGCAGGTTTCTGGATCAAAATGACAGTTGACACCAACAATAGAAGCACCTATAAGGACAAAGAGGAAAGTTTCCCATAATGTCTTTCATCGTCAACATAAGTTATAACTCGAATAATGCTTTTAGCTTATGTAGTCTGTGTTCACAGTGCCCTTTTTGATGTTACGTTTTCTGAAATGTATGACCTTTCTACCTATTTAGAGAATTTATATGCCACTTCTTCAGAGACCAGCTTGAAGCAATTATGTCATACTTCAACCTCCTCTTTTATTCCTGCATATCCCCTCCACCCAGGGGGCTGGTAAAAATTACCGTCATTTTGGAGTTATTTTCGGACAGTTAAGTATTTCAATGCTGTTTTAACTCAATTATATTGTATGTATTTCGGATGTAAGCTGCCCTGAGCCCTGCTCGCAGGGAAGGGTGGCCAATAAATCAAACATAATAAATACATATGTACATAATGTCGTGAAAGTGTATGTTTGGAAGCTGCCTGAAAATAGCAAAAGACATAGGTGTTTATTATATCAGATGCTAGTATGAGACCCACACTTTGCAAGGTGGAGTTCACATGTCCTGTATTCTGAACTGACCTTTCTAGCATTATAAAACATGTATTTTTGGTATGATCAGATTCCTTCAGTTCTGCCCCATTATTATTCCATAGTTCTATTATGCCTTTGATTCTGCTCCAATTACTTACTGTCAAGAAAGGAGGATTTCAGAAAGTCTGTAGAAAATTTTGTGCAAGAAAAAAAATACGAATATGTATTAAAAATAAATGATCAGCTTGCCCCCACAATAATGTATTGTTGTTGCTTTTCAACTGAAGCAGAACAGCACTTTTGCAACATAAAAACATTTTAAAAATCTGGCAACAAACTCAAAGGTTGAGTTCTGAAGTGGATTTATTTCTTCTGTTATAATCGTTTTTATGTCCCAAAATACATCTCCAACATTATTCATTCCTTTCTGGTGTGTGTGTGTGTGTGTGTGTGTGTATGGAACCCATATATATATATATATGGAACCCCAGGGAGCAATTCAGCATAAGAAGATTTCACAAACACTTCCATAATTTTCTCCTTGCAAGAACATGCATTTGAGTCACAGCTGACTCATGGAAACCTCATCCATGAAGTGTCCCAGTCAAGAGATGAGCGGAAATGGTTTTCCATGGCCTTCCTCTGTGTAGTGACCCCAGTCTTCCCTGGTGGTCTTCCATTCAAGTACTAACTCTGGCACTGACTTTGCTTAGCTTAAGAGCTCACGAGCTCAGGCTAAACTGGGCTATTTTCTCATTACTCAGTTTAAAAACTTATAAGGAATACCAATTTTAGAAGATCACAGAAGTCATGTTCAGGGAATATCATGGTCAGTGATGGTTCATGAGGTTTGTTGCTGGGAATAACCCAGCAGCTTCCATCACTGAGCACTGCTGAAGAGGAAGGAGTTGCCAGGTTAACTTTCTTTAATCTAATTTCCCCCTTATAACAGAGCTGCTGTTTCTCACTCTGAAACCCAGCTGATGAGATCTTTTTAGTCATGGTGGGTTGCAGTCATAACAGTGCAAGACCAGAAGATGTAATACACACTTTCGTATTCACAACAATCCTAACAAATTATTTCTATAGCATATCTAGTTCTTATCCAGATTAACACAACATAACTGTCATTAACTGTACCAGCTACGTCCATAGAACTGATTGGCCACTGTGAGACAGGATGCTGGACTAGATGGACCACTGGTTTGATTCAGCCTGGCTCTTTTTATGTTCTCTAATCTTAGTTGATCAAACCAAGACAGAGTATACAGATTACTCATGTTGATGTAACCTTACTACTCCATAAACCTGACAGAGCTTTGTCCTGGGTCCAGTAATCTCCACCCAAACTCATAGCCTTTATGTGCATTCTCTGTTGGATCCCTAAATCAATGTCATCTCTGATGAGATAGTAGTCACTCCATTGTTGATATATTACAATATAATAATCAACATGCTAAACATGTGGTTGAAGACTACAAACATCTTACAGTAATAAGAAGTTGGAGCTATACTACAACATTAGATCAATACTACACAGCTAGAGGGGAAGAGTCCAACAAATCACTGGCCAATTGGGTTCTTCAGAAAAAGATCCTGTAGTATGTTATTGGCTGAGAAGGAGCTTTTATGCATTTGCAGAGATCATGGACTGGATTCCATGGAAGATCTCTCCATGTGCAACTGTCTTTATGCAAGCAGAAGCCATAAAATACTTGCTGTTTGTTTCCTGAAGTAAAGGAGATGGTATTCTCCTTTTATTTGCATGCCAAGACAGAGTAACCAAATTAAATGAACTCATTTGAACTATCTATCGTACATTCCACACATCTGCCATTGGCTCCAGCTCACAGTCAGTCAAAATTAGATCCAAACTACATGTTGCTTGTGTCTAGCTGCAAGTCCCTGTGATCATTTGATAGATGTAACATGTAGTTCAGCTCTTATACAAGCTCTTTTAGGAGCGTTTCAATATATTGACAGATGATCCCCCTTTGCCTAGAGAGGATGCCACTTCGTCAAAGCATAAGCCTCTTATTAGTCTTCAGCAGTTGAAGCAGATTACAAGATCACATGTAAGTTATCCACATTCACACTTTTTAAAATTCTGTTTATACTCTTCACCTAAAGCAGAAGGGTCACACTCATAAATGTGTTGGGTCACGTGTGCCATAAGACATAATGCCAGGTACCAGAGATATAAATTGGACAAAGAACAGCAGCTCATAAGCTCCAGGTTGGTGTATCCTCACTGCAAGGCCCCATGGGCTGGGAGAGGGTGGGAAAACCCAAATGGGTGGACTGGAGATCCCGCAATGCAGCACTGGGCAGACACTTCCATGCTGCTTGACTGAGGCAGACAAGGTTGTTCAGCCATGCTGAAGCCACAATTGAAGTGGCTCCACCCACTCCCCTCCCCAAGCAGTCTCCTTTTCCCTCCCTTGCACCAGGCTGCACAAGAGCCCTGGATGGGCCTTATATTTGACACCCCCGGCCTAAGGAATAGGGGGATTAGAGATTTTAAAATAAAATAAATAAAAGCCATTTGTAAATATTTTTTCAATATACAGCTGACAAGTTAGCTGCCTGCTGTGCCTAATGAAGAGCTTTATACACCTTCACAATTTGCAGACTTCTTCCCAAATATAGCTAACACAAGAGTGAAGTTGTACAAAGGAACATTGCACAGTTTCTTACTTCCAACAGGTACATCATCTATAGCAGCTGTTTAGCAGTTTTCAGGTCATAAGTATTAATATTTTCTTACAACCAATGATTATGGGAGAAGTAGACCCTTACCAGCTTTTACAAGCCGAACAGCACATTCTCCGGGAAGAACACCATGCATGTCTCCCTCTGGGCCAATGCACATAGTAGCCGCAACCGGCTTCCCAGATTCCTTTAAGGTTTCAACAGCCCATACAGCTTCTTCAGAATGTTCAAAATACTACAATGTATATTAAAAACAACAGAGTGGGTAGAGTAGAAAGAGATTCAGAGGTACTGTGTTGACAACATTTGAAAACAAAATTCAAAATTCAAAACAAAATTCAAACAACAGTTTGTTTTTAACATTACCTATGTACATACTGTCAAACGCAACTGACTTACGGCAACCCCAGTGAGGGGTTTCCACAGCAAGTGAGAAGCAGAGGTGGTCTGCCATTGCCTTCCTCTGCAGTCTTCCCCTCATTCAAGTACCAACCCTACTTAACTTCTGAGATCTGACAAGATCAGGCTATACCATACCATTCCACATCCTGTTTTTACATTAAAATCCTAAATATTCAAAATGTTTCCACATAAAGAGCTATTTGACTTTGGGGTGATGGTCAAATAGCAAACTAACTTTAGCACCAGGACAAGTTAGGATATAGATTTAAATAAGAATGGTTAAAAGAATGTATAACAAACAAATGGGAATGGTAGATGTTCAACATCCTGGGAACTAGACACAAATTAACATAGAAGATACAAGGCTCATTTCTACCACATTCTGTGCTTTCAGAAGCGAGTCAAAGAAGGAACAGAGTTACAAAAAGCACATGCTGGACAAGATCTTGGAATGTGGAACAATGCAAATGTAACCTACCTACCTCTTTAACCTTAATTCCAGAACTGAACTTAATTCATATATTAAAGAAAACACTGTTATACACTGCAGAGTATCACAAATATTCTGGTTTGTTTGTTTTTCACCCATCATGAAGGCCTCTGTCCTCACTGGGAGCACTCACTGTTCCTTTAATGGTTTCATTTACCTCTGCAATTAAGAAGTCCACATTCTTTTTCTGAAAAACTTCTAGCTGCTTCCGAAAGATCGTTTTAACTTCAGCTTCATTCTTGCCACTTAAGTATGAAGGTGTCTGACTGACACCCCCGGCCACCAGAGCATCTCCTTCTTCAGCCACTTTTTTTGCAATGTCACAGGCAGCTTCATTTACTTTCTGGCCCTAACAGTACAAAAACACATTCAGTGGTGACTACACCCTTATACTGTAGAAAACAAAATGAATCAGAGCTGCAAATATACTGTACATATTTGATCAATCAGCATAACATAATTTCCTAAAGACAGGTGAGGTTTTCAATAGCGGGTTCAAAGGGTTTCACTGGTGGTGCTCCTGATATCTCCCTGTTTGAGCTCATCTGTGATGAGGTGAGTCTCTTTAGGACCCGGCAGCAACTGGTGGTTGGCTGAGTCACACACACATTGGTCAGATTGCAGCAGTTAGCTCCTCCTGTTGGATTTTCTGCACCAGGCTTCAGAAAAGATCGTCGGCTCAGGGAAGGAGTGAGGGAGGAAGCTTGATCCCTGCTCTCCTTTTTTTTATAAACATGGCAGCTTTCCTAGACTTCAGTTTTTATTAACATTGGGATTCTGGCTCACCTCAGAGGAAGGCTCTAGTGGGGGCTCTGTAGGTGCATGCCAAGCAGACCCCCCTTGCCCTGGGGCCTTTGATGTAATTAGCTGGTGGGCTCCCCCAAGGCCCCATCCCCCCAAAATCCCTAGCTATGGGGCTGATCCAAAGCAACATCTGAATCAACTTTCCCTTTTGCAGCCTGAAGCTATAGCTAGGGTGTTTTGGAAAAGTGTGGTCTACCATTGTATCCTCCTTGCCCAGAGAGAATGAAGAAAAGGGTGGGATTAAAATGGAGGGATGGATAGATCTGTTAAGTGGTTTTAAAGCTAATTCAGTCAGAACAACAAGTATCTGAAGAAGTGAGCTGTGACCCATGAAAGCTCCTACCCTGCCACATATTTTGTTAGTATTTCAGGTGCTGCTGGATTCTCGCTCTTTTCTAAGCTTACCACAGAATTTTGAAATATTTCAGAATACAGTTTCAGAGGGTTGCCGTGTTGGTCTGCAATACAACAGCTAGATTTGAATCCAGTAGCATCTTAGAGACAAACAAGATTTTGGGGGTATAAACTTTTGAAGGGAACTTTTCTTTCACAAAGCTTATACCCCCCCCCCCCCCGAGCCTTGTTGGTCTCTACAGTACTACTGTACTCAAATCTAGCTGTTCAGAATAGAGGCTACAAATCAATGTAAGATTCTTGATATTAAATTAATATACCATACAGATACAAATAAATCTCTGAAAACTAATACTAAATGGGGAGGGGGACTAACTCAGATAATTTGGAAGGTGTCATAATTTTGAATATATTGGAAGACGTCATGATTTTCAATATAGATTACTATTGATGCAAATCCATATCCAAACTATAAAAGGCAGGCAAGGACTGAGTATGGAATATTTTATACAAACTCACCTCAATGTATGGTGACTATTTTTCATTCATTTTAGTTTTGGGGGATAAAGCAGGTCTTTTAAGGACCCAAAAATTTGCCTGTAGTCAAAGCTTGTTTATATGCAGTGTGGATAGAAAAAACACACCGAAACCATTTTTATTTCTCAGTCTCTCTGTGGCCACCACTCTCCTCCACAAGGGCTTTTTAAAAAACCCAGCAAATGACATATCATTATGGCATTATAAAGGCCTGTGTTCGGGCTGCTAACTTCCAGGTGTTGGCTGGAGATCTCCTGGGATTACAACTGATCTCCAGGTGATAGAGATTATTTCACTTGAAGAAAACTGACACTTTGGGAGGTAGACTCTATCGCATTATACCCCATTGAAGTCCCTCCTGTCCCCAAATCCCACCCTCCCCAGGCTCTACCCCCAAAATCTTCAGGTGTTTCCCAAACCAGAGCTGGCAACCCTAGCCTATATACCAACCCTAGCCTATACACCCTAATCATCTTGGTTGCCCATCCTTTGTACTTTTTCTAGCTCTGCAATGTCCTTTTGGAGATACGGTGACCAGAACTGTACACAGTATTACAAATGAGGCTACACTATAGATTTATACAGGGGCATTACAGTATTGGATGTTTTATTCTCAATCCCTTTCCTTATAATTTCTACCATATAGTTTGCCTTTTTCACTGCTGCAGCACACTGCGTTGACACTTTCATTGAGTGATTCACTATCACCCCAAGATCTTTTTCCGTCTCAGTGTTCAGACCCAATTAGCCTATACCAGAAGTTGGGATATTTTGTTCCAATGTGCATCACCTTACACTTATCAACACTGAACTTCATTTACCACATTGTTGCCCATTCACCCAGTTTGTGGATGTTCTCTTGGAGCTCTTCACAGTCAGCCTCAGTTTTCACCATCCTGAATAATTTGGTGTCATCTGCAAACTTGGCCACTACACTACTCACCCCTAGTTCCAGATCATTGATAAATAAATTAAATAGTACCAGCCCCGATATTGATCTTTGTGGGACCCCACGGCATATTTCCCTCCACTGTGAGAACTGTCTCTTTGCTTCCTGTCATTTCACCAGTTTTTAATCCATAAAAGAACCCATCCTCTTATCCCATGACCACTAAGTTTACACAGGAATCTTTGGGGAGATACCTTGTCAGAAGCCTTTTGAACGTCTAGATGTATAATGTCTACTGGGTCACCACTAGACAGTGGTTGTTCACTTTCTCAAAGAACTCCAAAAGGTTGTTGGAGTAGGACTTCCCTTTGCAGAAGCCATGCTGATTTTTGGGTCAGCAGGCTTTGTCCGCCTGTGTGCTTAACAACTGTATCTTTGATTACAGTTTCTACCAATTTGCCTGGGTCAGACATTAGCCTGACTGTAATTCCCTAGTTTCCCTCTGGATCCCTTTTTAAAAATTGGTGTCACATTTTCTACTCTCCAGTCTTCTGGTACAGCGACTGAATTGAGTGATGGGTCACATATATGGGTTCGTAGATCAACGATCTCCAATCTGAGTCCCTTAAGAACTCTCGGGTGTATGCCATCAGGACCTGGAGACTTTTCAATTTTTAATTTCTCCAGTAAGTCTAGAATTTCATCTCTGATCATCTCAATTTGGCTCAGTTCTTCAGACTTCCTTCCTGTGGCATGGGTATGTGCCCCGCACTTTCCACAGTGAACACAGAAGCAAAAAAGTCATTGAGCTTCTCTGCCCTCTCCCCACCTTCCTTTACCAATCCCTTTATTCTTTTGTCATCCAAAGGCCACACTGCTTCTCTTGCTGGTTTCCTGCTCTGGATATATTTAAAAACAGGTTTATCGTCTTGATGCTTTTAGCAAACCGTTCCTCAAAAATTTGTGCTCTGGAAACTGTTTGTAGCCTTTAAGGTGCTAGGTTTCCATTACTTGAAAGCCAGTCGAATCTGACTCTAGGGTTGTGGTGCTCATCTCTGTTTCCAAGCCGAAGAGCCAGCGCTGTCCGAAGACATTTCTGTGGTCATGTGGCCAGTATGACTAAATGCCAAAGTGCACAGAACGCTGTTACCTTCCCACCAAAGTGGTCCCTATTTATCTACTTGCAATTTCTTGCTTTCGAACTGCTAGGTTGGCAGGAGCTGGAACCAGGGACGGGAGCTCACTCCGTCATGCGGCACTCGTATCTCGAACTGCTGAACTACCAACCTTCCAGCCTGCAGTTCAGCGTCTTAACCACTGAGCCACCACAGCTCCTTCACTCAAATTTCTCTGAATGAGGACCAAAGGTCAAATTCTCCATCGTATTCCAATTAACTGACAAATCGGATATCCTCACAATAAGAAGAGAAGAGAAGAGAAGAAGAGATTGGATTTATACCCCGCCCTTCACTACCCAAAGGAGTCTCAGAGCGGTTTACAAATTCCTTTCCCTTCCCCTCCCCACAACAGACACCCTGTGAGGTAGGTGGGGCTGAGAGAACTCTGAGAGAAACTGCTCTTTTTCAAGAACAGCTGTGCCAGAGTTATGGCTTTCCCACAGTCATCCAGCCAGGGGCAAATGGAGGAGTGGGGAATCAAATCCGGTTCTCCCAGATTAGAGTCCACGCACTTAACCACTACACCAAACTGGCTCTCTTCTTCACTATTTGTATGATATTATTTCACAAAATATAGAGTTACTTCTGAGTATAGAAATACAAATTGCCACCTATAATTGGCAATTTTAGCCCTTGGCACTTCATCTTTTCCATAATACTGACTAAACGATGTGAGGGGGGAAAATTACAGTAATATTACCCAGCTTCAATCTGATCAAGTCCAATTTGTTTTTAATTATGCATCTGTTTTTGAACTGAAAAATAACATCTTTCCTATGCCCTTTCAGTCTTACTATATGCTATTTTAATTTTTATTTCTACATCTTGAGCAGTACAATCCTAAGCAAAGTTACATCTTTCTAAGTCCATTGAAATCAATGTTCTTAGAAAGGCATAACTCTGCTTAAGACTGCTCTGTAAATAAATCAGTTGGGTCTTGCTAGGGTGTTCTGTTCTGTGGGTTGAAACTACTTATTTTTGACAAGTCGACAGAATTATTAATAAAAAACAGATGAAACTACTCACAGAAAATTTAGCAGCTACATAGTTTCCCCTGTTCTCCAATTTGTCTTCACTGGCATAAAAGGTGAAGGTTTGTAAAACAGTGGATCCAGCCCTGAGAAATTCTCGATGCAGCTGAGAAACTGAAAAATGTAAAAGAAAAAACAAAACAAATGTAATGTTAGCTTTGTGGCTTAAACACTCCTGTTATATTGGGTTGTGGATCACAATAACTTTTGTGAATCTTATAGTTTGGATAGAAAATGGCTAATTTATACTCTGTTCATTCAGATATTACCCTGAAATTACTTCTCCAGGTAGAACTAGCTGCTGTGAAACTAGGTTTTCCGGGTAGTATTTCTGCTTGAAATTCAAGAAGAAAATGTGATGGTATGTAAATAAGTGAGAGAAAAGGCCTCTCGGAATGTTAAGTGAAAGTTACATTCACAGTATCTATCACATTTTTATCCTGTCTTTCCTTCAAGGAGCTCACAACAACATATGTGGTTCTCCGGTTTTATCCTCAGAACATTCCTGTGAGATATGTTAGGCTGAGAGAAAATCTTGGGGTCATTCATGGCTGAGTGGAAATCTGAATCCAGGTCACCATCAGTTTCCTGTCTGTAAAACAGGAAGAATAGTAACTTGTTTCACCATTCTAGCTGAAGCTGCAGGAGAGACAATAATTTATATACTTAAATTTCTAACCCCACCTAGTCTCCTGGTGTGATATGTAGGAACATTTTCAGTTGGAGATGTATAGAGACAGCTTTCTACTCCAAATGGACAACAGCTACCACTACGCTACATATATACACATTTTTATACAGCAGAGGGCACTATGATATGCACAAACAGACCAGAAGTTATACCTACTTACAAAAGGAACTTACTTCCTTGTATATTTGCTCAAAATTGTTTTGGCAGAACTTCCTTGAACTCCATAGCAATTTTTTGTCATGCTGCTTATACTAGCTATTTCACAATAACCAAGGCTTTATTGCTTAGTGCTCAGCAGGTCTCATGAATTTCCTGGCATACTGAATTAAGAGCACTATCCAGTTTCAAGGACACTTTGACATTACTTTTAACAGACACAGATATTGTAAGTCCCAAATCCTGACCCATGCAAATACCCCTTAAGAATGATTTATAGTTGCATCTGTTTCATGCTTAAGACCTATGGTTGCCTGGTTGATGTAAAGAGTCTTTCCGGATACATTTCATTAGTGAAATGCTTCATTATTACATTTTTATCTTTCCCAGTAATGACACCAGGTTTCCTGTTACCTCATCCCACCGTGGCAATGGCAGCTTTGCCTGTGGAGACATACAAATGGAAGCAGGACTATATGTTGCACACAGGGTGGCTGCTGAAAATAGCATAGCACCTAACAGCTGCCGGCATCAAAATAGAGACAGATACCCTAAAGACTACTGGACTAATCCAACATAACTATAGGTTATCAGAGCCTTTATGTCATTCTTTTCTGTGTAAATCCAGGGTTGCATTTCCACTAAATGCCCCTGCAGGTATAGGTGATAAACCATGTATTTTTTAAAAAACTTTTATTTAAAGTATTCCTGCAACTGGACAATTATAAAGTTGCATTATAGGGCAACAATTCTGTATAAAACAGGTCATGCAGTTCCTTCCAGATAAAAACATTATCCCTTTTTTTCCTTCTGAGAGAAGGTATTATTTGGGGTGCCTCTTAAAATGTTAGCACTGTGCAGACACATGAATTAGGGAGCTTTGAGTTTCATGCCTTAGGCAATTTTCTGTTTGCGTTGTTTCCTAATATCTATAATTATAACCCTGTTGCATTGGTGCTGGATGTCTTGTGCTATCTGACTGAATTGTTTTCTATATGTTGTAATTTGTCTTGAGTCTCAGTGAGAAAGGCAGGCTATAAATGAAATAAATAAATATTTCAAAATAAAAGTGAGCACAATTCAGAGAAAATTATAAATGCAATCCTAAACAGAGTTACCCCTTTATCAGTTCACTGAAGTCCCTAGGATTAGAAAGGTGCAACTCTGTTTAGGACTGAGCAGTAAGTGCACTTTGATCCCATTGAAGTCTTTGTGCTAATATGTATTTAAATGTTTTCAATGGTTCTAATGTACAATGTAACCAGTAATCTCAGCCCAATTAGATGTCAATCACCATAACTAACTTTTTCCATTTGTTTCAAAGGGACCTAGCCAAGACCAATTTACCTGGATTTTGGCCAATGTGTTTATTCTACAGCTGAAGAATTTTACATACCCTACAAGGTATGCAGAGACCACCATGGTGCAGTGATTACAGTGTTGGGCTAGATCTGGAAGACCCACATTTACATCCCCACTTTGACATGGAAGCTCACTGCATGACCTCGAGCCAATCCCTCTCTTGCTCCCTAACCTACCTCACAGGGTTGCTGTAAGGATAAAGAAGAAGAGAAGAAGAGATTGGATTTATACTTCTCTCTTCACTCGGAGTCTATGAGCAGTTTACAATCTCCTTCTCTTCCTCTCCCCACAACAGACACCCTGTGAGGTAGGTGGGGCTGAGAGAGCTCTTTTGAGAACTGCTCTTGAGAGAGCAGCTCTCAGAGAACTTTGACTGACCCAAGGTCACCCAGCAGCTGCATGCGGAGGAGTGGGGAATCAAACCCAGTTCTCCAGATTAGAGTCTGCTGCTCTTAAACACTACACCAAACTAGCTTTCAAAAGTGGAGGAGGAAGTGTAAGATGCTTTGGGTCCCCACTGGAGAGAAAAGTAAAATATAAATTAAATTACAAATTAGACTAACCTGCTTCTGGGTGTTCTACTGCCGCTTCTGGAGTCCAAGGGCCAGCTTTCACATAGCCCCTCTTTTCAAGGGCGATGACAAATCCTCCATCACCAATTACAACTTCCCCGGCATCTAGTCGTTCTAGGATGCCCTAAAATAGTAACATATAGCATATGTATAGTGATTTCAAGTGTATAAAGCATTTCATGTAGCATATCTTGCAATTGGTACAATGCTGCAAGATAGGTCATATTATCCTATAACTCTCATATTGCAGGTGGGAAGCTGAGGCAGAGACAGAGATGGGGGACGGGGGGATGAGGGGGGAGAGAGAGGCTTGCCTAAAACTATCTATCATAGATCATGGATTCATGAGTGTAGCGATATTGGAACCAGGGACAGACTTGTAACCAGAAATGTTATGGTGAGCAAACGATGAATGGGTGGGGAGGACAGGATTATTATAAGGCTGCAAAACACACACCCTAAGCACACTTACAAGGGACTAACTCCCATTAAATAGAGTGGGATTTACTTCTGCATATGTATGCTTAGGGCCTCATTGCTATTAAACTGAAAATTCATTTTAAATGCCAGGTGACGAATTATGTATCTAGGTCTTTGTTTCCAGAGTGAGCACATTCAAGACAGGCTAGTTACACTTGTACAATGTAGCATTATCTGTCTTAATTTTGTAGCATTATCCATCTTAATTTTTGCACTTCACACACATGAAACCACAGTCTCATTTGTGACATATTATATCCAACTCTGTGGCAGGTAACTGAGAGGTCTCTAAACATATTTGGAGGAAGGAGGTGGAAATGGATTGTTCTAAATTACTTCAGAATACTTCACATATGCACATAAGAAAAGCTTGGGTTTCAGTTAAATAAGAAGGAACGAGGAAAAACGGCAGGGCCAAAGAGGAACATAGTACTAGAGGATGCCATTAAACTTGGCCCTGCCACTTAATTGAACTAATCAATATAACATGTACATAACACTATTAAAAAGTTGCACTAAATCACTGGCTATTATTAGCAGTCGGAACTTGGTGGGAAAATGAGCAGAAATAAACAAAACGCTCTTTACCACTGAATAAGCCACTGAATAAGATCACCCAGAGCTTCAGGACTTGGCATCATCAATATGCAGATGACACTCAATTCTATATTTCATTATCTAAGCTTATATGTGTGTCTGTCCTGGCTCTGAACCAGTGCTTTTTAGACTTTGGTCTGGTGGATAAGGCAGAACAAGGTGAAGCTGGACAAGACAAAGATGCTACTGGTTGAGCAGGCTGATATTTTACAGTGATTCGATCCACTAGTACTGGATGGAGTGAAACTGGCCTTTGCAAAGCAGGTTGAGAGCCTGGGGATGCTCATGGGCCTAACTCTTGGTGTTTGTAAAGCAGGTTGGTGTGGTGGCCAAGAGTTCCTTCTTTCACCTGCACCTGACTTGGCAACTCTCACCCTTCTTAGACTCAACTGATCTGGCCATGCTAATCCATGCTTCTGTAACCCCATAGTTGGACTGTGTAATGTTCTTGAAGTTGGGCTTCCCATGTAGACAACCTGGAAACTTTGGCTGCTTTGTACTGTGATAGCCCAAATGTTTTCAAGAGCCTATGCAAAAACAGCTCCATTGGTTACCAGCTTGTTTTTGAGTCCAATTCAATGACCTTTAAAACCCTCTACAGCCTAGGGCCTATGTACCTAAGCACAGTGTCCTCCCATATATCCCTGAGTGCCAACTGTGCTCCTCAGGCTGCCACCTACTGGTGGTTCTGTAGGGATTTGCAAGTTCTCTCTCTGTAGTCATGAAAGAATGTACATGTTTGTTTGTGCACACTAATTTTCTAGCTAGTTCAGTTAGGGACCCAATGGTAGAGCCTGCATGTATTTGCCGCCAGAGCAAGGCGATGAAATGCATAATTAGTTAGCATTGGGACTCTCCAACTGGGTAATCAATACATTGGGGATGGACTAGAGAATAAGCATTGGTTTCAGTTTTATTGCTCTTTGTTCTTCTCTAGTTTAGAAGCCGTAAAGATGTAAGTTAGAGTGGCTAGTCAGGATGTTTATCCTATGAGAGAGAGAGAGCCAATTTAGTGTAGTGGTTAAGTGCGTGGACTCTAATCTGGGAGAACCGGGTTTGATTCCCCACTCCTCCACTTGCACCTGGCTGGATGACCTTGGGCAAGCCGTAGTTCTGATAAGAGCTGTTCTTGAAAAAAGAGCAGTTTCTGTCAGAGCTCTCTCAGCCCCACCTACCTCACAGGGTGTCTGTTGTGGGGAGGGGAAGGGAAAGGAGTTTGTAAGCTCTCTGAGACACCTTTGGGTAGTGAAGGGTGGGGTATAAATCCAATCTCTTCTTCTATGTTTATTTTCTTTACTCTCCCAGTAAACTCTTTTCTTCACTAGTAAGTAAAGTCTCCTTTTAAAGCTAAGTGGTGTGCTGTGTTATTTCCTCTGCATAATTTTGAATATACAACAGGTTCCCCTACTTAAAGTTGTGCACTTGGCCTCAACTAGAGGCTGTGCCTAGAAATTTTTAGGTCATATTGCAAGGCCATTATGTTTCCCAGGGCTTTTGGTGGGACATACTGCCAGTATCTCTTGGAGGAGGGGGTGTTATTTGTGGGTTTTATGTTGTTGTTTTTAAATTGTAATGTTTTAAATTGCCTTGAGCCATGAAGAAAGGTAGGAAAGGGCACCTTCTGGAGCACTTACTCTTCTTTTGAGCATTTTGTGCCAGATCGTTTTTTAAAAGTTCACTAAATACTGCTCAAGGTGCTATCTGAACAATGTATTCCTTTTTACATGATCTCTCTCAGAGGGTCAGCTGCTGAAGCAATACTAACAGCTGTTCTGGGTTTCTTTTCATATCTGTAATAACAGGTGCTCTTGAACTGTTGCCTCTCAGAGAAAACTTTTTCTGAACATCCGTGAGTTCCTAATATTAGCAACTCTCTTTAGGCATTTTCAAGAAAAATGAAAATGATTTAAAAAACAACAAAGTACAGCCCCAAAATTAAAAGTTACACATATCTAATAATAAAAACTTTAATGAAACTCATGTCAAGGAAGAAGAACTAAGCATGCTGTCAGCAATTATAAAAGTAGTAGGCAGAACTGCCAACTTCTAAATGTGGCCTAGAAATTTCCGAGAATTAAAACTGATTTCCAGATGAGAGAGAGAGAGAGAGATCTCTTCACCTGGAGAAAACAGCTGATTTGGACTATACCCAGCTAAGGTCCTTCCCCTCCCCAAACCTTGCTCTCCCTAAGGTGCCCCCTCCCCAAATCTCCAGGAATTTTCCAACCTGGAGCTGGCAATCCTAGAACTGAGGCAGAAGCCTCCCCCATCCTTATACGAGGTAGTGATCCTGAACCTTTCAACTTCACAGAAAAGGCTTTCCAGAAGCTTCTGCCAAATGCTCTGCTGAGGGTTGGTCACCTATAAGTCTCCGTGTGTCCATTCGAACAATAATAATTCCTTACTTTCAGGCACGCTCCTCTCTTTCTGCCAGTTAATTTTAAATTCTTGCAGCCTGTGTTAGATTTCTTTGTGATTCGGATGGATTCCCAGTACCACTAACTAGCAACAAACCTTCACACTTCCATTCTTTTCCCCTTCCAGTTCTGCATGTTACCAGATACTTCCATTTTTTGCTCACACCATTGCCCAAATTTACTTGGATAGAATCCAGGGTAAAGAGCTCATATCTTGGCCTAACAGCTGCTACTTTCTGCTCTCTAGCATTTTTACAAGCCATGTTCTACAGCCATGATCTGTGCTATTTATCTTAACTGTATTGAGAATATAAAACCCCTCCTCAGTTTTTTCTAGCAATTTTCCTTTGAACATATAACTTCACATATAGCAATCTCTCCTTATATATAATAATTGATATATAATTGAATAGTGGGTGCCAAAGTTCTAATTCTAAAACGCACTCCCTTAGTGTATGGCTGATGGCACTGCTCCTCAGCATATATCGCCACCAATCAGAAGGCAAAGCCCGGGTCCCGCCCACACCACAACTGCTGCGACAACCTGGTCTTTTGCATATGGAAGCTGATTGGACTTCACTCCATTCCACACCTCAAACTCCCCCCCCACGGCAGTTGGAATGTCAGTTGCATATGGAACCTGCTGTATTCTGGTGGTCTGCAGGTCCCAGGTTCATGTTTTAAAAGCAGACTGACACTGTTTGCCCAAAACCAGAGCACTCTCCCAGAGCCTCTTTCTAGATCCCGTTGTATTTATTTCCACAACGGGCCTTATTTCTAGTAATTACCATAAAGACACATACATCCTATCCTCTAACTCCTAACTCCTCATAACTCAAAATAGTATTAACTAAATTATGTTTCTCACTATGCTATGAAATTTTAGAACAGCTGATAGTGAAGTCTTGTTAGGACTGCGCAGCAGCTCCGGTAGAACATTTCCCTGGAGGCAGGAACCACTGCAATTAAACTGGTAAGAAAAGACATTACACTTGATCTCAGTCAAAAGCTGGAGAAGTGATGAATAGACTCAAAGAGGAGTCTGAGTAGCCTGCCCAGGATTGCTGTCTTAGGGAATTGCACTGAAATTATTATTATCATCATGTACTTTATTGGTAGTCCACCTTTCCTATTGAGACACAAAGCAAATCCTATTCATTTTTAAAAGCTTCATAGCCTAGCAATAGGGGCTCAGATATCTGTTGTGTCTGCAAATTCACGCGGGTACAGGAAGCCATGCCCTGTTATAATTATCCAAACTATCAATGTTGGCTAGGGTAAGTGTACTTCAGAAATGTAAGAGCTTCTATAAAGAATTTCATGAGGCATAGGCAGCAAACGGCGTGGAAGAATATTGTGGCACCAACCAATGCTCCCCCCTCTAAGCTGTGGAGCCTTGTGAGCAAAAATTCTACTTTTTGAGCGACTGGCATTAAAACTGTGAGCAAGCGATTTGGCTACTGCATAAATTAGTTTGCTCTGGAGCCATCCTTCCTGAGCTCAGACAAAAAAAATGTGTGAGCCGGAGGCTAAAAAACTGTGAGCTAGCTCACACTAACTCAGCTTAGAGGGAACACTGGCACCAACACTTAAACTTGGCATAGACAAGAGTATCTGTTCGATTCCAGTCCCGTAGCATCTTAGAGACCAACAAGATTTCGAGGGTATGAGCTTTCAAGAATCAGAGCTCCCTAATTTGAAACATCAAGTTTGCACATATACAGGATCAAAGCAGGGCAGAACCTGCCTTTTTCCTTATTACTGGGTGAAAGCTTTAGAGCCTTCTGAAATACATGTGGGTGTCGTGTAGCGTTTTTTTGTTTTGTTCCGAAATGTAGACATCCACTCTGTTCAGTAGCAGCCGGTCTACGGCGCTGTAATAAATCTCTACACAAACCACTGCCCGCTCGATTCGCCGAAAGAGGCGTTTCCACGTTTGGCAGTCGTACAAGCAAGCTCCGAGGGGCTGCTGTTCACCCCAAAGCCAAGCAAGGAGAACTGCCGGAACTTCTTACCCTCTTGGTCTTCGGAGACCCTCCGCCCGGAGACATGACCTAGTCTGTTGATCCCACAAAGCAGCACGACCTGGGCCCCGCCGCTCAGACAAGCAGCGAACGTTTTTGTGAGAGGTCGAAGAGGGACTCCTGCGCGGCAAAGCAGCCTTTTATAGCTCCGGCGGGTGGGCGGGTCCAGAGCGCCGAAGGCAGCTTGGCTGTTCATTGGGAGAAACGGACAAACCCCCCGTCGCTGTGGCGCTCCTATTCCGCCGCAGGCTTCGCGCACGCTTGTGTGTTTTGCTGTCCTGCCACAGCCCAGTTTGGCAGCAAGGGGAAGCGAATGAGAGAAAACAAGTATTTCCATCGTGGCCAAAACCAACAGCCTGCCACACGGCCCTCGGAAACACTTCCAGATATTCTCGGTCGGTTTCAAAAGAACAACATTCTGCTCCCACCTACAATACGCGCGTGCGACACGCTGGTGCAATGAATGCAGAATAGTTGAAGCGCTGGAGGTACTATCGATACAAGAATATCCTAGAGGTGGATTAGCAGTTTCGATATTTGTACGGTTAATCTTCCCCAAACGCATCGTCCTCTCCTGCGGTGTCACTCTCTTATCAGCAGAGTTGACTCCAGTTTTTAAACCCGCTGTACGATTCGTTTGGACGCACTCTTCGTCGTAGCGCTGCACTAGATACGTGTTCAGCAAAACTGGCTCGCAGGGTGTTTTCTGAATTTCAGAACTGGAGGGATAGTAGTAGCGATGACCGTAGATCCTGTACCAAAAGAAGCCAAGCTGGTTTTTATGTCCACTGTATCCTCCTATGCTCGAATAGGTCCAAACATTCAGGAAAACACCCTCCCCCCGGCCACCGACTCTCGCAGACTGAAATGCCCAAGGCCATAAATAATCCAGTCACGGCGGAGAGGGGCGGGCCCAGTTCCCTCAGCTGTGCGGGGGCTGCTCGCGCGGGGCTCAGAACTGCCAGCCGAAGAGAACTCGAAGGAGAGGGGTGGGGTCCTCATCTCTCTCGCTCTCTTTCCCCCAGGTCGCGCGGGGGTTTTGTGCGCGGGCTCTGCGAGGGGGAGGCCATGCTCCGGGAAGCCCTGAGACGGCTCCCGCCAAAGCTGCGCCGAGAGACCGCCTGCTTGTTTTCTCCGGCGCCGTCTGCGCGGCTCTTGGCCTCCGGCTCGAGCCCCGAGACGTGGTGAGTCCAGCCCTTGCCTTGTGTGACTGGCCGCAGGTTCCTGAGTCTGTATTCAGACCGGAACGGCAGGGGCACCCAAAAAAAAGCGGAAACATGCGCTGGGGCGGTTAAGGCTGTGTGCAGGTTGTGTGCTTGTTGGTCGGGAAGTTAAACTTGATTCAAAAGGACTGTTTTCGTCTTTTAAATGAAGTAGGGATTGAGGGGGGGGGGACGGGGCGGGTCCCCATTTTTGAACGTGCAAAGTTCATAAACACTATGTTTAAATATTCCATCCTGAGCAAATTTAATATTGGCTCTCGTGGAACTACGTAGGAGTCCAGTGAGTTTAGCACGCTGCTGCTCACAAGTTTCAGGCTGATTCAGTATTTCTGTGGGAATGGTGGTCTGGTCAGAGGTAAAGCAAGGGACAAGTGGAATAGAGAAGGGGATATATATTCCTCTGTAAAAGATAGTGTATCGTCCCAGGTGCCTGTGTCCTGTTTATGAATGAAAGCACTATGCATCTTGGCTGTATTTGCACGAACAGCTTCCATAGGATTTATTAGGAAAAGCGTCCCTTGGATGAACTTTGTACCTGTCCCATTGTAGACTTTCTCTGAAGCACTTAAAACTACATGGGGATGGGGAAAGGCTTTGGATAAAATGAAAGTCTCAGACAAGCCTCTTCTTGTGCTATATATCCCTTGCTCTCCCATACCTATGACGTGAGGGGCAATGGCTCTGTGCTAGCAGGTCTCAAGTTCAATTCTTTGTAGATAAAACAGGGGTGGCCAAAATTGCTTAACCTAAGAGCCACGTAGAATAAACGTCAGATGTTTGAGAGCCACAAGATATGAAGAAATATGCAAATTTGCTTTTTATTAACATTAAACGAGACTGCCAATATATAAAAACAAAATGTCACAGGCTGGATTGCCAGTCAAAGGGAGTCCAGAACAGGCCAAGGTCAAGAGCCAAGAAACACAGAGCCAAGTCCAAGTCGCTAACCAGAAACGTAGTACAAAGCCAAGCCAGGGTCAGGAGCCAGGAACACAGAGCCAAGTCCAAAGTCAGGGGGCCCGAAGGTCTAGGTGCAAGAGCCGAGCCGGAGTGCATGCTAGCAGCATGAAGCTGACTTGTTGCTTCCACGAAGAGTACTGCCCAGAGTGTGGAGTTAAATGCTGCTACCAATTAGCCAGCTGCTACCAATTAGCCAGCTGCACGATCAGCCAGGCTCCTGTTAGAACTCTGGGCTGGCTGAGCGTCTCCCTTGTAGCCTGGCCTCTCTTCGCCTGGTTACTAGGTTTTGTCGCAGTTGCTCCCTTAAGCGAGTCACACATGGGGGTGAGTCAGGAGGACTTTCAGCTTGCAGTTCTCCCTTCTTATCTGGGCCAGGTGTGAAGACTGCTGTTACTTGCCAGCTGTCCTCACCTGCTGCTTCAGAGGGGCCAGCTGTGGTTTCTGCAGGCTCTGTCAGCTCATCCTCATCCATGCCCATGACAGAAAAGGGGTAAAAACAGATATTGATAATGATATTTATTTGTTTGCTAGTAATATTTATTTGTCTAAAGGAGACAGAAAGGGAGAGCAGTAGAAAGAAAGAATGAAAGAGGTGGGAAGAGAAAGAGAAAGCAAGAGAAACAAAGAAAGCAAATAGATGGGGAAGGGGGAAGGAACGAAGGAAGAGAGAACGGGAGGGGGGAGGGAGAAAAAGAGAAAGGAAGGTGGGAAGAAAGCAAATAGATGGGAGAGGGAGGGAGGAAGGGGGAAAGAGAGAAACAAAGAAAGCAAATAGAGGGGGAGGAAGGAAGGAAGAGAGAGAGAAAGAAGGAGAGAAAGAGAAAAAGAAAGAAAAGAGATGGGGAGAAGGAGAGGAAGGAAGGGAGAAAGAGAAAGGTGGAAAGAATGAAAAAGGTGGAAAGAAAGAAGGAGAGAGAGAGAAAGAGACAGAAATGGAAACAAAGCAGAGGAGAGAGGGGGAGGAAGGAAGAGAGAGAGAAAGGAAGGAAGGCAGAGAGAGAGAAAAAGGTGAAAAGAAAGAAAGCAAATAAATGGGGGAGGGGGAGTAACAAAGAGAGCAAGGTGGAAAGAAAGCAAATAAATGGGGAGTTAGGAAGGGAGAGATGGAAAGAAAGAAACATTAACTTTAAATGTATTCTTCAATCCCCACCCATCCCCCCACACCAGCCGGCTTGGCTTGGAGAAGGGGTTTAAAGAGACAAATGCCTTCTCTAAGCCGGCTGGTGGGGGGGGGCTTCAAGAACACATTTACAGTTAAAGTTGCTTTCTTTCTCTGCCCCCCCCCTGCCCCAAGCCTGCTCAGGGAGGGGAACACTGGCTGCTGAAGGGAAGACAGATTAGGGAGGCATGTCTTCCCTTCACTTCCCCAGCCGCCCTGCAGGGAGCCACACAATGTGTGAAAGAGCTGCATGCAGCTCCCGAGCCACAGTTTGGCCACCCCTGAGGTAAAAGAATGGGGTGTTATGAAAACCTGTGCCTGAGAGCCCGGAGAGCTGCTGCTAGTCAGAGTAGACTGACCTTGATAGATTAATGGTCTGATTTAGTATAAGGCAGCTTCATGGTCTCTTCTTACATTAGCAGGCTACTTAGTTTGGAGTTTTAACAGTGGGAAACAGACTCAAGTTGTTCTCATTTGCAAAGTTGCTGAGAGAAGGGAGAACTAAGGGGGACAAATTACTGGGGTCATCCTGTGAGGCCCATGAAACTTATTTAATTTATATTCCACCCTCTTTGCCGAAGCAGGCTCAGGGTGGCTTGCATAAAATTTATCAAACAGTTAAAACAATATAATATAATATAAAAAACACAACATAAAGTGCTAGTACAAATCGTGTAGTGATGGCGAGGCATTAGTAGCATCAAATAATAAAAAGGTAAAGTCGGATGGTATTTCATGAGACTTAGAATCATAGAATCATAGACTTGAAAGGGACCTCCGGGGTCATCTAGTCCAATCCTCTGCACAATGCAGGAAATTCACAAATACCTCCCCCCGCCTGTGTTCCCTCTAAGCTGAGTTAGTGTGAGCTAGCTCACAGTTTTTTAGCCTCCGGCTCACACATTTTTGCCTTAGCTCAGGAAGAAGGGCTCCAGAGCAAAGTAGTTTATGCAGCAGCCAAACTGCTCACTTACAACTTTAATGCCGGTGTTGTAAGAATTTTTGGATGTGTGGGTGTGTGTTTATTGTTGCCCTCCTCTGGACATGTTCTAGCTTGTCTATATTCTTCCTAAATTGTGGTGCCCAAAACTGAACACAATACTCCAGGTGATGTCTAACCAGAGCAGAGCAAAGTGTTACCATCTCTTCGCGTGATCTGGACACTATACTTCTGTTGTTAAAGCCCAAAATTGCATTTGCCTTTTTAGCAACAGCATCACACTGCTGACTCATGTTCAGTTTGTGGTCTACTAAGACCCCCTTATCCTTTTCGCACATACTACTGCCAAGACAAGTCTCCCCCAACCAATGCTACCTCTAAGCTGTGAAGTCTTATGAGCAAAAATTCTACATTGTGAGCTACTGGCATTAAAGTTGTGAGTGAGTGATTTTGGCTACTGCATAAATTAGTCTGCTCTGGAGCCATTCTTCCTGAGCTAAGACAAACGTGTGAGCCAGAGGCTCAAAAAATGTGAGCTAGCTCACACTAATTCAGCTTAGAGGGAACACTGCCCCCCAACCTATAGTTATGCATTTGATTTTTCCTACCTAAATGCAGAACTTTACAATTATTTTCATTTATTTATTTATTATATTTATATCCCACCCTCCCCTCTTTCGGCGGGCTCAGTTATCCCATTGAAATTCATTTTATTTGTTTTAGCCCAGTTTACCAGCCTGTCAAGATCATCCTATATCCTGACTCTGTCTTCTACTGTCTTGAGAGCCAGTTTGGTGTAGTGGTTAAGTGTCTAATCTGGGAGACGCTAATCTGGGAGAACCGGGTTTGATTCCTCACTCCTCCACTTGCACCTGGCTGGATGACCTTGGGCAAGTCGTAGCTCTGATAAGAGCTGTTCTTGAAAAAAAGCAGTTTCTGTCAGAGCTCTCTCAGTCAGCTGGAAGCTGTTTACCTGTTCTTGGAGCTCAGTGGTCTTGTATTATTGGGGCATTATTATTGGAATGCCTCCAATTGGGTTTGAAAATAGGAAATTACAGGTCATTGACACACTACCGAGATCAGTTCTCAGGAGAAAATGGATGCTTTAGAGAGTGGACTCTATGACTCTATGACATTGTACTCTAGTGAGGTCCCTGTCCTCCCCAGGCTCCACCCCCAAAACTCAGAAGTTTCCCAGCCTGGTAACCTCCTCCTCCTCCTCTTCTGCTGCTGCTGCTGCTGCTGCTTCTGCTGCTGCTGGCTAAAGGAAAACCAGGAGGGATGGCTGAAATGAATGGTGAAGCCTCTTAAAATTTCATAGTACCCAGGAAGACATGAAGTGTGTGTTCCCTTCCCCCAACTCCTCTGTACAGCATAAAGAAGTAAAAATAACTGTCCTGTATTCAGCCAGTCAGGTTTGAGGCTAGATGAACTGAGCTATAGGGCAATTACATTATAAAGCTAGGCTGCTGAGGTTTAAGATTAAGTCAGCTGGAAGCTGTTTACCTGTTCTTGGAGCTCAGTGGTCTTGTATTATTGGGGCAGGGATACCCCCTTATTTATTCCTACCTCTCACTATTCGTCAGAAGCCTACTACTTGTACATATCTTAAAGATGACATATTAATGGTGACTAAGCTAGACACCAGAAGACTTCCATTATTGTGCTTCTGTTCTTTTCTGTGAGTATTTCTGAAATAAACATGTAAGGAGTAGTCCCTTGAAACACAAGCAGATGGGAAACCTGGCTGACAATTTTATGTAAAACATTTGTACCCTGTGGTGTTAGTTAAATTTCGTAAGGGGGAGGGAGAATCAAATGTTCTAATTTCTGTGTTCTACTCAGGAAAGAAAAACCAACATCTATAGAAGCAAGATGGAAGGATGCAGCAAACACTGTAATTATTGGAGGCGGCTGTGTTGGTGTGAGTCTTGCCTACCATCTGGCCAAGGCAGGCATGAAGGACGTGGTTCTTTTGGAAAAATCTGAACTTACTGCTGGGTCTACTTGGCATGCAGTAAGCAAGTGCTTCTAACATATTAAACTAGATCTTGTTCCATGCGATTTTTACGGTTATGTTCTTATGCATTCTAAGCCCACTGGTTTTAATAAGCTTAGAATGGAGTAACTCTGCATAGGATTTGACTGTTAGCTAATTCATAGCTATTCCATAAAATAAAGTTTGAGTCCACTGGACTCAACTTTGTTCTAATGCTTCAGACCAACACAGTTACCCATCTGAATCGATTCCATAAAAATAGTCTATCATCATGGTTGTCTTTGGCTCTCCCTGGCTTCCACTGTCTGAGCAACCAAGTACCTGGGGTGTCAGTGTACAGGGGTGTGAACACGTTTCCTGGCAATCCTCCAGTGCTCCCTCTTAAGTTGTGTGCACGAGCAGCCGCTCATGAACACAGGAGACCCTGCTCGGCAGCAGTCTGGAGCCATGCAGGCTTTTGCACTGCCCCATTGCCCTTTTTAAGATTACAACAATATAAAAAGCTTTAAATGTGAATGTGACATGATGTGAAGTGACAGGTTCCCATTGTTGCCTCTAGAGAGATGGCATATAAATGTAATAAATATATTTATGGTACAGTGTATTCTTAATTAGACCTCTGTCTTGTTAAGATTGTCAGGTTTTGTCATTAGATGATATACTCTCATAAAGAAAAAAATAAGCAAGGTATCTTCCATATACTGACCATGGCACTTACAAGAAAACAACCTATTTATATTCCAGCAAGACATTCTGCTCCAGAATATCAGGACGGGATTAAGGGCCAGTAAGTGGATCCATATTACGTAAACTATAGCTAGTTACCAAGAAGATGTTGTCAGCAGCCGTTACAGAGTAACACAAGATACCAGATCATGTGTCAGTTAGTAGTGGTTAATGTAGAAAAAATGGACTAGATGCAACTATTATATAGCATGTATATGCAGGTGGTACACGTTTATAGTCATTGTATATATTTACAAAGTACCGTAAAAGCTTCATAAATGTAACAAGAATCTCAGATAATGAAACTAAACTGCATAGAGTGTGTGAACCCAGGTTCAAACTCCAGGCTCTCAGTGGGGGGGGGGACATTGTGGCTGCCTAAGCATTTGGCCTTTAAGTTAATGCATTTAATCTTATAATTGATTAACAGTGGACTCCTGTGCAAATTGAAGAGCATGGTAACACAGGTACAGCAGTCCCCAGCATGAAGACGGGATGATGGGGAAAGCTGCATCTGTTCTCCCTCTGTCTGTCATGTGCCTTTCAAGCCCTGTTGTTGTGTATTCGTTTGGTTCAAATTCCCATTTGTTAGGGCCTCAGACCAGGCATTTTCTCTCCAGCTAACCTAGCACAGAAGGTTGTCGCTGACATAAAATGGAAGAGAAGAGAGCCATAGATGCCATCCTGAGCTTCTTGGAGAAAGGGCAGGCAGCATAATGGAAGAGTGAGTGAAGGGTAAAAGTGTCCTGCATGGTAAAAAGAAAAAAGGTTGCAAATGCAATCCCATTCCTTTGTTCCTGCTGCTGTCAGAACTCATGCCATATTTGATGCTGTTCAGTAAAATCTGTATCTGAGCTGTGTGTTATAATGGTGGCATTTGCTAATTGCGGCCACTAATTTCTAATCTCAGGCCCAAATTGCATGCAGGGCCGGCTCCAGGTTTTTTTGCACACTAGGCGAGGATACCCCCCCCTGTGCGCCCCCCAGTTTTCAAACATAAATGCATTTTAGGAAGAATGAACAACACAAAATCTGAAAGGTTGAGAGGTCGGTGGGGCTGAGAGAGCTCTTTCGAGGACTGCCCTTGAGAGAACAGCTCTGAGAGAACTTGTGACTGAGCCAAGGCCACGCCAGCAGCTGCATGTGGAGGAGGAGTGGGGGAATCCAACCCGGGTCACCCAGATTAGAGTCTGCGCTCCTAATCACTAATTCCTGGGGGTGGGGAGGCCAGTGGCTCCTGCTCCTCCAAGAGGAGGACGGCTGTGTCTCTGAGTGCACTAAAAGACCCGGCGGCGTGCAGCAGTCCCACCCGGTCAAGAAAGTTGCAGGGCTTTTGGCGGGGGGGGGGCAGGATGCCAGTTTGGCGCCCCTAAGGGCCGGCGCGCTCTAGGCGAGCGCCTAGTGAGCAAGCCGGCCCTGATTGCATGTTATATTTAACATGTAATCCCCATGGGGACTTGCAGTAGGATGCCAGCTGCAAGCTCCCAGTGGGAACTCAGTTCTAGAGTGCTACAGGGGGCCCAATTCATATCCTCCCCTGATTTGGGGGTGAGGGGCTCCAACTTCCTCTCCTTCCTGTTTTCTGACCCTGAACTGGCCCCGTGTTGTTTTCTCTGAGAAGGGGAGGCTGGGCTTGCACTGAATGCCTTGCATGCTCAGCCCCCTGCTGAGTCAACTAATGCCCACTGAGCAGTTTTGGGTCAGGAAAGTGGGGTGGAGAGACGAGTCTCCCCCCCCATACCACAGTCCTGACCTGAATCAGACCTTTGCAGTGCTTTAGAATTGAGTTCCCATGGGGAACTTGCAGTTGTATTTCTGTAAATCCCCATGGTGATAACAAGCAGGGGTCATTTCATAGAAAAAGAGGTGCAGGAGCTCATTAGCATAACTCATTAGCATAACCTATTTGCATATGCCACGCACCCTGACATAACTGGAAGTGTGTCAGAAGGTGACACCCACTGCTCAGGCTCCACTGGACAGTTGGATTGCTAGCTATTGGTGGGGGGGACGTGCAGATCTGTCCTCGCAGAGGAGGGAGAGCTTGTATCTGAATAAAGCTTGGTCTTAAAGTTGCCACTGGACTGTTTTGGACCGGGGGGCTGGGGGGGGCTCTGCAATTTACCTGGCTGCTTCTTACTCTGACTGAGGGCTGCTGGGAGCAGGGGGTGGGGCTCGTTGCATGTGCCCACCCCCTGGGCTCTTTACTGCCGGAGCTCCGCTCCTGTGCGCTCCTGCAGGAAATGACCCCTGATCACAAGTTAAATATAACAGGTAGCTTGGGCTTCACTAGGGACATCAGGTCTTGTGCTTCACTGGGAGACCTCCTGTCCTCCTTCTCCATTGGCAACCAGCGTGCCAAGGGCTGGCAGAGGGGGGGAAATGATCTAAAAAGCAACATCACACCAAAGGCACAAGGTAACTTCTAGCATACACCTGGAAGTGATGTCATATTTCTGGCATAATGTCAATGCAATGCTCTAGATTCAGGCAAAACTCTATGGTTTTACCATTCAGTTTTGTCTGATTCCTGTAGTATCACATCAAAATCACACTGGTGACATGAACTGACTTCTGGGTATTCGCTGGAAGTGACATCGTGCCACTGACATTGTTCCTCCTGTCTCGTCCTTCTCCCACTGGTTGTCAGTCTTGCCATCCTAGCCTAAGTTGACTTCTTAGACAATGGGAGAGGCATTGCCTGGATGTCTCACAAGAGGCCCTATAAAATCAAGGGGCTGAGAAAGTGTAGACTAAGCCAGAACCTATAGCTAGCACATGAAAAGGAGAAGGCATGGATTTCCCTTACCTTTCTTATCTGGGTCCTTAACCAGGATAGGACTGTTAAGGTGCTTTCCTCTCCCAGTCTGGTGGCCTTTTGGATGTTTCAGGTGGGGAAAGACATGAACAATAAAGGCTCTCTAGGCATATAGGGGGATTGTCCAACATGTCTTACACAGTGTACCTGGAAAAGGATGCAACCATCTTGGATTGCTCAACACATTTCTGCAGTAATAGGAATTTGTCATCACTGAGAGTATCTAGGATAGCAGTACAGTTACAGGTCAGATGGATGCACAGCTAAAATGATAGGTAAACACAGTGGCACAGGAACATTTCTGGTACAGAGTGAACTAAATGTTACCTTGATAGTGTCTTTTCCTTATCTCTTTTCCTGTCAGATAGGCTGGTTTTGATTGGGAAATGCAAAAAGGGGGAAATCTCCTTGATTAGTGCTGTGGCGGTCGTCTGAATGACTCTTCTTCTCTTCCACCACTGTTTGTAAGGGTCAGTGACAGATTTGGCCATGGCTCTTCAGTTTAGTCTTGACCTTACCCTATATGCCCATTTTACATAACACCTTATCATTATAGGGATTACTTCATCAATTTGGGAAACAGGCCAGTTTTTAAAACCCAGTTGTACACAGTTGTTTAGATTAGAACTGAAATATTACATTAGGTAGAAAGATTCTGTCGTGTTGGTCTGAAGCAATAGAACAAAGTTCTTTCCAAATAAATCAAATGTGTTAAGCATGTTCTTGTCTGTTTTCCACAATTAATTTTTTTTTGCTTTTCTTGACTAAAATTTACTGACAGATTCTGTCCAGTAGCTTCCGTAACTAAAAACATGTAAATAAAGAAGCAGTGTATGATACTGCAAACAAACAAACAAACAAAAAAGGTTGAGTCCATTGGCACCTTTAAGACCAACAAAGTGTTATTCTGAGGAAAAGCTTTCATGTGCATGCACACTTCTGTGTTTGTAATGGAAACTTTGAATTGGAACACTAATAACTTCTCAGTTTGTCAGCAGTGTAAGCCTATGGTCCTGCATATACCAGTGGTTGCTTACACTGGTGTAAATTCTGTATAGTATAGTTGGTATTCACAGTGGGGAAGAGATGCTTTGAGGAAGAAACAAGTGGACATCGGGAAACACCTTAGCAGGCCCTGTGGGGCTCACAGGTGCCACAATAGCAATCCCTAGCCTAACAAGAAAAGAAAATTACACCTCTTTAAACTATACTTATGTTTATCTGTTTGGTGGTTTCTTTTGAAAGGCAGGTTTGACAACGTATTTTCATCCTGGAATAAATCTGAAGAAAATTCATCACTACAGCATCAAGCTTTATGAGAAGTTAGAAGAAGAGACTGGACAGGTGAATACCTTCAGATATATTGATACTGGTTTTGTGAACTATGTTATGCAACACAACATCTTTCTAAATGAGCCAGTTGAGTGTAGCGCAGGGACAGCGAAGATTTTTCACTACCAGGTCACATGATTGGAAATCAGTATGAGCACTGGACACATTACTTTTTTTTATAACAAACTGTCAGTCTCTATACCTCTTCTAACTGAGTTACATGGATAGGGCAGATGCTTGTCAGTAATTCTTCATAATGCCAGTTTCATGAACCAGTTCAAAACATTTTTGTTAAAAATCTCAGGTGGGTTGCACCTCAGGGTCAAGCATTTGGCCCATGGCCGCCGTATGTTGGACACCTTTGGTGTAGTGGCTAAAGCGGTGGACTAGATTTTGGGAGACCCAGGTTCAAGTCCTCCCTCTGCCATGAAGCTTCCTGGGTAATCTTGTGCCAGTAACACACTCTCATCTTAACCTACCTCACAGAGTTATTAATAGGGTAAAATGGATGAGGGGGTCCAGTTTGTGCTGTCCTTGGAGGAAGGGTGGGATAAAAATGTAGCAAACCAATCAATCAAACTGTCTTTCTACATCCAGCACATGCTCCTTTAAAAAAAAAAAAAAAACCCTCCTGCAAAAGTTTTCTGTACATTAATAAATTCTGAGCCAATCTGTCACATATTATCTTGTATTCTAACAGCAAAGTCAGCCAAAATCCAGTGACTGGAGCTGTGAACAGGCAAGAAAAGGCTCCAGGTTTGAAAAAAAATGTGAAATCCAAAAAAAGGGTTGTTTTTTTTTTTAAAAAAAGGAAAATGATAAAAAGAGTGCCTGTAGCTTTAAGCAATGGATTCCCTCAGTGGCTGTTGCTAGGCTACCACAGAATTCCAGGCTAGGTTTATGTGAGGAAAAAGGAGGGGTCAGGGCCCTTTCCAGACCTATTTTGGGCTTTGAGGGAGGACCCATCAGGGCCTAGCTAGGGTTGCCAGCTCCATGTTGGGAAATTCCTGGAGATTTTGTGGTGGACTCTAAGGAAAGCGGGGTTTGGGGAGGGGAGAGGCCTCAGCCAGATATAATGTCATAGAGTTCTCCCACCAAAGCAGTCATGTGTTCCAGAGGGACAGATCTCTTTTTTCTGGAGTTCAGTGTAATTCTAGGAGATCTCTAGGTCCCACCTGGAGGTTGGAAACCATAGGCCTGGCAGCAACCTTTAAGTGACTTAGTACCACTCGTATGACTCAACTAGCTCTCATTGCTTGCTACTATTGAACAGCAGCCACCCTATGAAAGCCAGTGTGGTATAGCAGTTAGAGCTTCAGAGTAGGGTCTGGAAGTTCCAGGTTTGTTATGTCCGCTGACCGCCACTAGGCGCCAACGACTTATACCAGAACTTGGCTCTCAGAGACAATAGGGACTAGGATCCTGAAACCTCAAGTGGTCACCAATAGGAACCTTGGCGGGAAGTTTAAACGCTCCAATAGGACCTGTGGGTGGTCCACGGGAACTGTATATAGTTGGCCGCCTGGCCGGTATTTGTTTGTTATGTTGTGTACTAGTAAACATGTGCTGACAATTACGCTGTTTCCTGATCATTCAATGCGTCGAACCCACTACACAACAAGGTTCAAATCCCTTTCTTGTTGCACATACTAATCTACCTCACAGGGTTGTTATGTGGGTGAAAAGGAGGAGAGGAGAATAATGTGTGCTTCTTTGGTCCCCACTGTGGAAAAAGGCTGGTTATAAATGAAGTAAATAAATAGTAAATATAGCTGAAGGTGGGAGGCAAATAGAATGTAGGTTGGTGAATGGCTGAGCAGGAGAGAATGAGGCAAGGAACTGTGTCACCACACAACTGAGCCAGAGTTTTCCTAGGCAGAGGTTGCTTGGGGAGGGACAGCTTAAGACAGCAAAGCGTGTTCTTTAGGTTTTTGTATCATATGAATATGTTTAAGATAGACTAGGGTCTCTGTTGTATTTAAATCAATATATGAAGACACAAGTGCATATTAGTAGAGTGTGTTTTGTTCTAACATGGTGTTTCTTTACGTTTGTCTAACTACCTGGAGGTTGGCAACCCTAGGAGAGAAGGAAGCAGGAAAGGGGGAGAGGCTATGAAGGCTTTCAGGAAAATGAAAGTGGAAATAGTGGGGGGGGATGGGGAAATGTATGCCTCCCACTGCTGCAATTAATTCTGGAATTGTTATAAGTAGTGTCTAGAAGGTTGCTGAAATCCTTGACAGAGAATGAAGGAGCACATGGAACTAAAAAGCTCAGTGAGGAAGTTCATCACTGCATCGCAAGTTTTGAAGTGTAATGAGAGATCAGATGAGTTTTGGCATCAGCTGAGAAACTTGGTGAAAGTCAATGTGTGATGCCCCTTACTCAAGTCACTGTTCCCTTGAGGAGCAGCCAGAAAAGCAAAGTACTGCCATCAATCAGCTCACACTATTAAATTGTGCAGGCTAAGCAATTTGCTACCGAGACAGTTCACATGGCAATTATGTTTAATGGTCAAAGCTTTTTATTAAATTGATCTTTTATTTTTTTAAAAATTCTTTAGTAATCAAAACAGAAGGGCTTGCTCATTCAGGCTTCTTTTTTATGTGTCAGTGCGAAGACTAATGTGTCTAATCAAATGGAAAATGTGTTTCAGTCCTTGCAAGATATGAAGAAAGTGTTTCCCAAAATGGAAGTGTAAAATATGCAAACAAATCTTTGAGAATTAATGCTGTTTATGACATTTCTGTCATAAACTTCTGTAGACGGTTCTAAAGGTACAGTTTTTTGCAGTTATGCTAAATAGGTATTCTGTATTTGTAACCTGATAATCTTTTCCCATTTCTATTAGGCTGTGGGGTTTCATCAGCCAGGAAGTATTAGAATTGCTTCAACCCCAACAAGAGTGGATGAACTTAAATACCAAATGTCTCGTGCTGGTTGGCACCCAACAGAACAATATCTTATTGGGCCAGAGAGAGTGCAAGAATTATTCCCTTTATTAAACATGGAAAAGGTAAAGACATGCAATTGTTTTATTTAGAAGGAATGCAAAGTGTATCATACATGTAAAGGAACATGATTTTAGGATTAACAGTTTCTTTTAATTTTGCGAAAAGTTATTTTGTGATACATCACAGCATGGCTCTTGAGGGGAGCTTTGCCTTCCAGTTGAAACAAAGAATCATGAAGGTGAAGGGTCAGCTATTTTACATGAAGTAGTTGTTATGGGCAGCATATCTTAGTGTTGGTGCCATTTTCCTATATCCAATTTTTAAAAAAATATATTTTTATTTGTTTTTAAATCATCATTAACAACAATGAACATCAAAAGCATTAAACAAGCAGCAACAAGAGATCAAGTCGCATCAAAAGCTTATTATGTAGCAGTAAAAACTATTTTAACATTTTTTGAACATTTATCAAACAATTAGAAAGGGTAAGAAGTGCTGGTAATTATGCTACCTCTGTCAGTAAGGCAAGTGTGAGTACTGGATTAGGTCTGGATCTTAGATGTAAAATATTTTTATATGTAACTCGGTGTGTACAGTAGAAAGCTAGTGGAAAAGCAAAGAAGAATAAGAAGTGTTAGTGGGAAGAAGTTCAGCTTCTGTCATGTACTGCAGCCATGGAAACCATGTGCGTACAAACCTATATCCAATATCCAGCTCTATGTGTAAATGAAATACAAAAGTGCTTCAGTCCAGGTGAGAAAGGTGGGGTGGGACGTCTAGCTACAGTTGCTAAAATGTCTAAGGCCAGTGTTCTGTAGGATATGCTGGGTGCCAAATCAGGACTCAAATGACAGTTTATCGCAGAAAGATCAGCAGCAGCCAATAGTGTGTGTGCTTGTTCAAGACCTCAACTATCTTTATCAATGTCCTGGTGGATGACCTGGCCTGGGGATGGACAGAGGGAGTCCTACCCTGTCGATTCTCATTGACTTCTCAGCAGCTGTCAGTACCGTTGATCATGGTATCCTTCTGGAGTGCCTTTCCAGCCTGGGATTGGGGGAGACAGCTTTTTGTGGTGGTTTCAGTCATACCAGGAAAGTAGATTTCAGAAGGCAGAGCTGGGGGGACTGCTGCTCAGCCCCTTGGCTTCTGGCATAGGGGGTCCTGCAAGGTTCCATCTTGTTGCCCCCGCTTTTAAACATCTACCTGAGACTGAAGTCTGAGGGTGAAGTCGTCCAGAGATTTGGACTGGGCTGTTGCCAATAAGTGGATGATCTTCAGCTTTGTCTCTTGCTTCTAACAGGTCCCAGGGAGGCTGTGGAAAGCTTGAATTGGTGCCTGGAGGCAGTTTTGGGATGGATAAGGGTTAATAGAGTGAAGCTTAATCCTGGCAATATGAAGGCGCTGTTGGTGGCTTGAAGGACTGACCTGGATATTGAAGTGTTTTGGATGGGTCATGCTCCCCCTAATGGAGGAGGTTCACAGCTTGGGGGTGCTGCTGGACCTAGGTCTCCTACTGGTAAATGGCAGTGGTGGCCAGAAGTGCTTTTCATAAGCTTTGGCTGGTGAGCCATCTGCAGCCTTTCCTGGATGATGTGGTGTATGCCCTGGTAACGTCTAGATTAGATTACTGCAATGTGTTCTGTGTTGGGTGTCCAGAAACTTCAGTTGGTACAAAATGCTGCAGCTAGAATGTTGACTGAAGCAAGTTCTAGAGACCATATTACTCCAGTCTTCTTTCATCTGTACTGGCTTCCAGTTGGTTCTGGACCCAATTTAAGCTGTTGATATTGACTTTTAAAGCCCTGTACAGCTTGGAATCAGCGTACCTTAAGGATCACCTACTCCCATATGAATTGTCTTCTTCGGCAGCTTTGCTTTAAGTGCTTAAGTACCGGAGGCTAGGCATATAGCAACCCAAGAAATAGTCTTCTCGGTTGTGGCACCAAAACTGTAGAATTCCCTTCCTAGGGAAATTTGTCTGTCCCTGTGTATTATCTTCTGCCAGTAGGTTTCATTTGATATTCCCCTGTTAACCCACTTTCCTGTTTATGTTTTTGGTTGTTTATATGTATGTAAGTTGGTTTTAATGTTTGCTAACTATTTGCCACCTTGAGAGCTGTAATTGGGTGGTAAGGCTGGATACAAATATTTTAAATAAATTAAATAAAATAATAAAAATAATAAGCGGGGCAGAGCAGACAGGAAATGGTGGAATAAAGCATGTATCCTTAATTGATATGCATTTTATTTATTATTTCTTGCATACTTCTGGTTTTACAAATGTTAGGAAGTTCATAAGATTTTGGTTAGGAGTAGTCACCTGTTATTCAGATGGGAAAATACAGAACACTATGAGGAGCTGTATTGAGAGATGTTGTATTATAGTGGCATTTAAGGAGCCTCATGTTTATCCTTCCCTAGCCACCCAGAAGAAGAAGAAGATGGTTCTACTAGGTTTGTGGGCTTCTTGGAACAGTATAGCCGGCTGCAATTGGAAACAGGATGCTGGATTTAATGGCAATATTGCCTTATCCAAAAGGTCTTTCTTATATTCCTATCCAAATGATATATTTAAAGCTTTCTTGCTTTTTAGGTTTTCTGATGGCTGTTCACATACACAGCTACCTTGTATATCATTTCAATGTAGGAACTTATTTGACATTTCATCCAACATAGATCTTTATTTTATTTTTTGCAATTGATGAGGCGTACCTATTTTTACTTCCTTAAGCTCACTGAAAGAAAGGACAGCATAAATATATTTAATAAATAAATAATTTTGGGCTCAATCCTTCTGCTATTGAACTGAGTTATCAAAGCATCTGCTGATTTTAATGGCGTCCAATCGCAGCCCATGCTTTACGCTGAAGAATGCTGTATTTGCATAATTATAATGGAATATTCATTTGGATTTATTTTTGAAATCTTCAGTCATTTAATTTGTTTTTGTGGCAGATGCTGAATGTTTCTTTCCTAGTAATTACCCACATCTGCTTATTCACCATTCAGGAAATTCTAATATTCCTGTCTCCCTTATTTTTTGTTGAATTAAGATGAGAAATGAACAGAATAAAGCTGATTTCATTGTATTGTGTTTAACCCACTTAGGTTTTAGCTGGCTTGTACAATCCTGGAGATGGTCATATTGATCCTTATTTGCTCACTATGGCCTTGGCAGCAGGCGCCAGGAAATACGGTGCTCTGTTAAACTATCCAGTTGAAGTAACTAATCTAAAATCTAGATCTGATGGAACATGGGAAGTTGAAACTCCACATGGGATAATTCGAGCAAGCAGGGTTGTGAATACAGCTGGTAAGAAATGAAAGATATTTGATGTCCCTGGAAGCTAAACTACAACAGCAAAACCCTTTGCCAGAATGAGTTAGGTCATGCTAAACATCGATTGCATGTTTATGCTGTAATGAATACCTTGCAGAAAACACATGATTGATGATTTGCAACTAGCTAGTGGCCTCTAGAATATGCAGTGAATATTTTTCATTTTTAATAGTTTTAGAATCGTAGAATGACATGCTGGGGAAATGTAATACTAAAAACTGGACCTAATTTCTGGGCATGTTCTGGAGTAGATAAAACTTACTGGGGATAGTTTGCCCTGTTAGTTTAAAAGTAGATGAAATGAATTTCACTGTTGTACAATTCCAGTGCTAGAAATTATAGATTATGGAATCACTTATTTAGCATTACACATAATTTTCAATTTATTCACCTAAGTTACAATAGGCTTCTAAATATTGTGCAATGATTACTGTGTAGAAAAATAGCTGGCCTGTCTGATCTCCATCTGTGAATCACAGCTTCTGGATGTACACAAAAGCTGTAGGATGTACACAAAAGACTACATTCCCTGTACCACCTGGTTTTTGTACATGCTTAGTCCTGTGATCCCCAACATAGCCTTCACTGATGGTCAAAGTGGACCCATCCTTCCCTGTTCACCTTACAGGATCCAGCCCATTGTTTGGGGGCAGTTTTCTCCCCATTTTTACTATGTTGTGTAACATTTTGTTACCAACTGCAAATAACAGTGTTTTATTATTTACTTATATATTTATCAAATTTATATGCCACCCTCCCTCCAATTTGGGGCTCAGAGCAGTTAACCACAAGTTATAAATACAATTATAATAAATACTGTAGATACATATGAACAGATAAAATTAAAGCAGTAAAAACAACAATAATCAAACTAATCAGATGGTGATGAGTCTTCCATATCCTTCTCTAGAGGAGAGGAGACGGGGAGGCCAGGACTGCTGGCAAACCGTTGGTGTCCTCAATCATAGACTTGGTGGAACATGTGACATCACTGTAGGCCTTTTAATTTGTTTTGATAACTTATTAAACCAAAGACATACTTGTGTAGCTCTAATGTTCAGCCAAAGGTTACATTTAGAGCTAGAAGTGATTAATGACCAGGGTCAGCCTGAGTAAACACAGCTATGAAGAGAGCATTTTCCCAATGCTCTCAACAGCCAATCTTTTTTCTTCCTTTCAGACCCTCCTTTCCAAATAATTTACCATGCCAGTCCCATTGCTAGGTTAATATTCTTGGTAGCTGAAGGGATGGATCTAAAGATTTTCTTCTACCAGCATAACAGCGCTAGTGGAACAAGGAAAGGGAATAGAATAAACTTTGAGTCCAGTAGCACCTTTAAAACCAATAAAGTTTTATTCTGGGTAAAAGCTTTTATGTGCATGCACTCTCCTTCGGATATCTGAAGAAGTGTGCCTGCACATGAAAGCTTATACCCAAAATAAGTTTGTTTTTATTGTTTTATACTCAGAATAAAGCTTTTTCTGTTGCTTCAGACCAACATGACTACAGTGATGTCCCGTCCACTTCCCTCTTCTTCATTTTTCTTTCCCTTTTGTGACTGAGCAGCCCTAGATACCTGTTTTCTTGTTTCCTGAAGAATTCTGGCTGTGCCACCCTGTCAGAGTATAATATTTTGGTTGTTTGCTTGGCCCAGGAATTTGAAGGAAGGAATGGGAGCCCTCTTTAATGTATATACTTAAATGGCACTCGAGAAGTTTTTATATTTCGAATTAACAAAATATTTTATTCAACATAGGTGAAAACAGGGGTAACTCAATAGAGATAACTCTGAGGTAAAATCAGTACATGCACAGACTTTAGTTCTAATGTTTCAGGCTAATGAGAGTTTCTTAAGCTTTTCACAGTGCCTTTAATCTTTATGTTGAGAGGCTTTTGTTCCAGTGTTTTCCCCAGACACTTCAGTACACTTCTTTTGAGTGTTCTTTAATTCTTTTGGTTTCCAGAAGGCTTGGTACACCCTTCCCAATTCCCAAACCCCTTCTCTTGATCAATCCAGTTCAACAAGAGACCTGTTCTACTGGAAGATCCCAGGGGGAAGAGATCTGCTTTGGTTACCTGGGCATCACCAGCACACAGTCCCCCGGCTGCTCAGGAGAACTTGGCGGGAGACCCCTCCCAACCCACCCATGGCTTTGGGAGGCAGTGGGGGGTGGCAGCAATGAGTACAGGGCCGGCCAGCTTGGAGGCAGCCAGCACCACTGTGCATGTAGAGCAGTGAAAAAAAGTCAATAAAACAATGAGGGAGGAGAGCTGAAGAGGATCCTAGGTGAACATTGCTGATGGGGCATGAGAACGGAGAATAGGACACTGTACCTTTAAGAGAAAAGGAAAGCAAGAAGTCGCTCTGATGCCCTAAGAACACACACACACATACCTGTCATGGTTCAGTAAAAAAAATTCACCAGTGACCCAGATTTAATGATAAACTCATCCCTGAGTTAAAACGTTGTTAGTTAAAAAAATAATTAAAGGCCTTTTTTTTTTTTGCAAACTGTACCTGCCCACCACAGGGCTTGAACTGAAAACCTTTGTACGATGAGCACAATGCTTAACTGGCTGCTTTGTCTAAGATGAAGAGAAAGCCAAACTTTCAAATCTCAAAACTTTTAACTGCAGACCCAACCCCTCCCTCCCTCCATGATTCTGCAAAAAGAAAGGGAAGGGAGGGGGAAATCCAGGCCCACACATGCAAGACTGACACATTTGGGAGCAGGGAATCCCCTAGTCCTTTATATTTACTGATTCCTTCTTATGCTCTCTCTGGCTTTTAAAAAGTTTGCCTGAGCAGGAGGACACATCCTCTTTTGTCTTCGGAGAAGGAGGGAAAGAAAACAGAATGGGGAGGGAGTGTCAACCTAAAGAGAGAGAGGTAGAAATGGGGGGGGCAGTGGGAAGCACTTAAATACCCACAGAAACAATTCTACTTTAGAAAGGATTCGTGATTTGAAAAGCTGTTGAGAAGAAAGAATCGCAGCAAAAGGAGTTTTGGTAACTGCAGGGTAACAGTGTGGTGCAAGTTGTCTGAATGCAGATTCCTGTAAAACAATGCAGAATCAAGAAAAAGCCCTGACACAAACCAGAAGTGAAAGCGGGAAGGAATGCAGAACAGAAGAATAGGATGCACTCAGAATCCAAGGCAAAATACAGGTGGAGAAAGGTCCTCAGTCACGGAGGTAGAATATAAAATACTTTTCTCAACTAAAGGAAAGTCCAGTAGCAATATAGTAGGTTGAACAATACCAACCATGTTGTCAGTATTAACAGGTATCATCAATAACTGAAACTCAGCCAGCAAAATTGGACAAGAGGGGACTCTGAACACTTCTGCAGTAACTTCTATGGCCAAAGCAGAGTCCAAACCAGAACTGCGCTTAGCTATTTTATCGACAGAATACCCCACAAAACTGTCACTCAGCAGATTCTAAGAAGACGGGAGTAAATCTAGGCTAAGTGCTTTTTAAATTAAAATTAAACCTGTACCCAGCCTCATATGTTCAGGAGTAGTTCACAGTAATATCACAAAAACAGTGAAAACTAATATTTTGTTTATTTATTTGAATATTTATAAACCTGCCTTTCCCCCAGACATTTCAGGACCCAAAATGGCTAACCACAATATGAAAACATTTTGATAAAACAATAAACACTAAAACAACAGTTATAAAAAGATGGTAGAAATCAAATTAAAAACACCTTATGCTCTCATCAACCAGGTATTTCTGCTTTGCCCAAGCTCTCTGGCATAACTGTGTCTTATAACCTCACCAGAAAGCCAGGAGGGTAGGAACCCCCTGACATCTTCTGAGACACTGTTCCATAGAAGTGGAGCAGCCACAGAAAAGGGGCCATGGGAGAACATGCCTTAGACATTGGGGGTGCTGATAATAGACTGAGGAAAATGGAGCTGCCTCATGGGAACATGGACAGAGAGGTGATTTTTGCACAGAGAGGTATTTCTTCAAGTATGTGGCCACAGGTCATGAAGGACTTTAAAGGTGACCACCAACACCATGAACTGGACCCAGAAACTGATTGGTGGCCACTGATAGTACCTCAGAATAGGAGTGACATGGTCCCATCCGTTTGCTGCCGAATAACAAATGGTCTGCCACATATTCTACCAGCTGCAGTGCCCAGATTGTCTTTAAAATGTCTTCAACAGCAGCCCCATATTAGAGGGCATTACAGTAATCCAGCCTTGAGATAACTGAAGCAAAGATCAGGCGATCTTCAAATAGGGAGTCAATTTCCTAACTACATATAGCTGGGAAAAAGCATTTTTCACTCTCCTGGACACCTGTTTCTCCAGCAGGAGACAAGGGTACAGCAAGACAACCAAGCTCTTAACAGTCTTTCAGCAAAAGCTGTGTGCCCTCCGTAACAGTAAGAACAGTCCCATTGAAGAAGTGACCTTTCTAACCAGAATAATAGCAATAATAACAATAATGATATACAGTGCCTTTAATATTCACACACATTCTTTCATTGTAATCCTTACAATAGCCCTGTCATGTAGGCCAGGACTATTGTGCCCATTTTGCAAATGGAGAACCGAGACTACAAAGTGAGTTTCTGACAGATATGAGATTTGAATGAGGGAACTCACGGATCACAGCTGATTCTGATAGCCAATAGATATGAAACTCCCTCTTGCTTTTTACCCCAAAATATTTTCCCTTTTCAATCCCTCTATTCTAATATTTTTATTTCTTTCATTGTGTTTCATAGGTTTCTGGGCTCGTGAAATAGGCAAAATGATTGGACTGCACCACCCACTCGTACCAGTTCACCATCAATATGTTGTAACCACAACTATCCCTGAAGTGAAAGCCCTGAAGAGGGAAGTGCCCGTGCTTCGTGATTTAGAAGGTTCCTATTATCTAAGGCAAGAGAGGGATGGGTTTTTATTCGGCCCATATGAAAACGAAGAAAAAATGAAACTACAAGAATCCTGGGTAGAACATGGAGTCCCACGAGGTAACTTCTATTTATGAAAATATCTTCGGCTTAGATTCTATGCTTTCTTTCATGAGCAGAGTACACCTAGAGCCAGAGGAACACAAGCCAGACTTTGTGTACATTACTGCCAATCCTATTATTTGGTGATGATAAAACTGTTTTTTACACCAGCATAGTTTATGTCAGGTGTTCCCCAACATGGCACCCACCAGCACCTTTCCTGGCACCCACAAAACACTTTTAGAAAGTAGGTGGGGGTCACGTGGGTCTTCTGAGTGGCCACTGGAGATCTGCTAGGCTGGGCAGATTAAAATAACTTTGTTTTAACAGCAGTTGCCACCACAGTGTTGGTTTTATTCTATTTCATTCCTCTTTCCCAGTGTATTTTTAAAATCACCCCTTCTTTCCCTGATCTTGGGCTTCCTCAGTATGCATGGCTCCACCTCGTGCAGCAGCTGTTTTGTGGATGTGCCCATCACCCTGTGTCAGAATTCCAAGTAATGCCCACAGGCTCAAGAAGATTGGGGACCCCCGGTTTATGTCACTGTGGCTATGGTAGCATCCAGACCCAGTCCAGCTACTGGTGGCAGTGGTGTCATTATATTCCAGAGCTGTGAACAACTGGGTGGCACAGCAACTTTCGACAGATTGCTTCATGTGAAGGGAGATATAAATGACTGCATTTGTTGTAGCAACTTAAGTTTCTAGGTGTCTTCTTTTTAAAATAGTAAGATACACTTTCCAAGTAGCAGTAAAATAAATTGCCTGACTTTCATTAGCATACCTTATTTGGGCAGAACTCTTTAGTGACTGGAATCTGTTAGTACATTATACACAGGCCTCCATGAAGACAAAAAGCCTTTTGGAATCACCATCATCTTGCTTCAGTTTTCTTGAACCCCGTTTGCAGTTTTCCAGAGCAAAAGTCTACAGCCTTTTGTAATTCAAAAGCCAAACTCCACCAAAATTCAGAGCAAGAGATCAACAAAGATACAGTATAAAAAAGCTTGTTTTCATAACTGAAAATATACAGCTTAACCAGTTTGGTGTAGTGAGAGCCAGTTTGGCGTAGTGGTTAAGTGCGCGGACTCTAATCTGGGAGAACTGGGTTTGATTGCCCACTCCTCTACTTGCACCTGGCTGGATGACCTTGGGCAAGCCATAGTTCTGATAAGACCTGTTCTTGAAAAAAGAGCAGTTTCTGTCAGAGCAGGGGAAGGGAAAGGAGTTTGTAAGCCGCTCTGAGACACCTTTGGGTAGTGAAGGGTGGGGTATAAATCCAATCTCTTCTTCTCCTCTTAACATTATTAATAATTATCTTAACATTAATAATAATATGAATAATCCATAAAGTTTCTGCAGCCCAAACACTGGTTGTTGTCAGTCCTTTATTAGGAAGTTGGACACGCAGAGTCTCACAATATTCACAGGAGCACCCTGTGTGATTGTTTCAATGCACTTGCAGAAATCTGTGCATGGTTCACTCTTGGATTACTGGCAACAGTCCAGCTGCATCATTTGTCTTTCTGTAAAGCATCTCTAAGAAGAATTTTAATCTCAGCTTTGCCTATCATTCCTTTCACATATAGTTTATTCTAGCATCCCACCTACCTCTCCAGTATACCTTAAAGATTTCAATTTCTTTTCTTTTTTAAAGAATATTTGGTTCTGTACTGATCTGCATTTGGCTCTAGAGCAAACTCCAATTCCAGAGTGCAAAAGAATATTTTCTCTGTGCACAATTTCTGTCTGGTAACATCTGGGTGTATAAGAAAGTGATTTTTTAAAAACATATTTATATAATGCCACTTTCAGAGCTAACAAAAACATAATGACTTTTTAAAAGGTTTTGGAAAGGAGCTTTTTGAGTCTGATTTGGACCGAATAATGGATCATATTGAGGCTGCCATGGAAATGGTCCCAGTCCTGAAACAAGCAGAGATTATTAACGTGGTTGCAGGTCCCATAACTTATTCTCCAGACATTCTGCCTATGGTGGGACCACATCAGAGTGTTCGAAATTACTGGGTGGCAATTGGTTTTGGGTGAGTAAATCAGTCTCTTCAGTAAGACTTTGACTCTCTCTAGTCATACAAAAAACTTGTTAAAATTAGATTCACTAATGTTGATATTCTCCTTTCTGTTTATCCCTATTATCCACATTTCACATGTTTTGTTGTTGGCTTTCTGTGTTTTTCTTTCTCAAGCTGTTCCCATTTTCTCTGCTTTTTCTTCTGTTCTGGGACCTTGCATCTTTAAAATCAATGTTGTGCTTCTTGCTAACTACATATTTGTTAATATACCACTAATAAGCAACATAAGTAAGCTACTTGTAAATATCTTACTTAAGTTACTTAGAAGTAACTTGCAAGCACAAAGAGATTCCTCATTCATCATCTGCCTGAGAAGATAGGCATGTAAATATCAGACATTTATACAAAATACTTTTCCTTGATGAAGGTGATCTCCTGTAAAGGGGAAAGCTTGTACATTGTCACTTATGAAGTGCATTTGAATTAGCTGAGTACTTTAAACATAAGTCTGATCCATGTACCTGTAACAAAATAAACCCTTATACTATATTTCATAAAGGCTACTTAAAACATGACATTTTTCATGTGTTTGTACACTGAAACAAACACTTTGCATAGCTCCAATTAGGAAGAGAGAAACATAATTTCATTAACAAAGAAGTCAGTCAATCTGGTATCCATATAGAGAGCTGAATGGTGGTTTTTCAGGTATAATATTTAGAAAGCCAAGACTCATTTGAATTTTTTTACACTTTTTTTTTACACTTAAGGCTTTTCATGCCTTGGCCAGGTTGGCTCAGGTGCACCCCTGCCAGCTGGCCTGGGGACACCCCCCTCCCACGAGCAACACAGGAACACCCTGAGCAGCTGGCTAAGCAGTGGCTGCCCGTTCCACCTAGCCTGCAGCTGTGGTGCCTGGGTCTTGGGGGGGGGGGGCGACCCATAGTAGTAAGGTGACTTTCTAGTTAGTGTGTGCCAGTGGCTGTAATCTTGCTCTCAACCTAGAGTAAAGATTCCAAAGTATCTTGAAGGCATCTTGATTGAGTTTTTCATAGGATGGCCAGAAAATTTAAACAGTGTTGTGCATTTATCCATTGTAGTGGTGTTTAAGATTTGTAGTGAGTGTTTAAGATTTGGCTTGTACTAGTCAGTACTTATTGCCAGTGGTTTTGAGTAAAGGATGCACATGGGACTGAGGAGAGACTGGAGCAGTGAATGGAACTGGAACCCAGGTTTGTATAAGGGCGTTCCTTCAGGTACAGGGATTCCAGGCCGTGAATGTCATTAAAGTCTAGTTCAACTCATACTCTTTTTTGTTAACTGTGTAAACAGAACACTGAATACGATTTCAGCCTGATGTAACTGCAGCTACTGCAGGGGACCTGTGAAGAGTCACAGTGTGGGGGGATCTCATTTTCTCCTGCTGGTCCCCTCCCCATGATAACTCTGCTTTCCCTTCCAGTCCCCTGTTTCTGTGCCTCACAGCCCCATGTCCTCTTTGTTTTCCCTGCTTCTCTCCCTCTGTCCTGGCTACCTTTTTTCAGCCTCTCCCCACCCAGTAGTCATTCCCTCCAGCACCCTTGGGCCATATGTGAAATTAGATATAAGACAAGATATTAACTTTTTATCCTCCAAGGCACACATGGTGGTTCTCTTCCTATTTTATCCTCACAAGGACCCTGCAAGGTTGGCTAGGGTAAGAGACAAGGTGAACTCATGTCAGAGGAAGGACATGAGCCCAGATGTCCTCAGTCCTAGTCTGACCCTGTAACCATGGCTCCTCCTTGCTAGTTTCACTGCGTCCTCTGTTTTCAGAGCTGCTTAATCTTTAGTTCAAAATCTAATGGGGCTTTGTCCAGCTTGTGTTGTTTTTACCTGTAATATATTATGCCTCCTCTCCCAGATTCTTAAATAGGAATAGTTAATAATTTCAGACCATCAGAATGCATTTGCCTCTCCGAATCCAGTGGTCTCTGAAATGTTTGCCTTTGAGCTTGTAAGTCCAGTGTTCAGAACATTGCCCTGTCAGTACTTTGACCTTGTAACACTGTGGTGGTAGCAACTGGCAGAACTCCTATCTTCACTAAATGTCTGATAGGATACCTGCATTCTTTTCCAAGATCTTTATCAGATCTCTCTAAAGCATGTGTTACTGCAAGGCATTCCCCCCTCCCCCCTTTATATTAAATAGCTGAGTGCACTGCCTACTTTTGGGGCAATGCATTGTAAAATAAGGAGCTCTACTCCTGTTACATAAATAATAAACCATGTGACTGAAAGTAAGGGTGGCATCAGTTTTGTGGCTGGCCTGGCCTTCTGTAGAAGTCATTTTGTGGCAGCCATTTTGCAGCTGCAGCCACCACACTGTGTCAGAATTCCAAAGGTACCTGCAGGCTGAAAACCACTGCTGTATGTTGACATCTGGCTCTGGGAGGCTAGTATGAGCAAAAAATCAACACGCTGTATATTTTACTTGTTGAACTTGCCTGTCATTAGCAAAGCTAGACAAATTATTTCTAGGGGGAAAATGAAAACAAGGGGAGTTCAATAATCTTCAAATCCTATGTTGAAATGTTATTTGAAATAAATTAGCAAGGGTAGAATGTATATATTTCCCCCCAGATATGGCATAATCCATGCCGGTGGCATAGGAAAGTATCTCAGCGACTGGATACTCAATGGGGAGCCGCCTTTCGATCTCATAGAGTTAGATCCAAATAGATACGGAAAATGGACAACCACACAGTTCACAGCAGCAAAAGCAAGAGAGTCTTATGGATTTAACAATATTGGTAAGATAATTATTTATAGATTTCCCCCATCTTGAGTAAAAGATACATGCCCTGATTTTTTTTTTGGGGGGGGGGGGGTTTCCAACACTTTCTGCGCCAAAAGAGGGCAGGCCCTGTGTCTGCATTGCCACGTAGTTTGCTGAGTCAATTTACAAAATGCATACTGTATATAAGTATATCCTTACTATTGTGGCATTTTACAATCCACAGAGAAGTACTGTGTGTAAACAGTACTGGGAGGCACATATGCAAAAAGTTATTTCATATGTTTTATCAGGCTGATGTGTAACATCTAGTGTAACTTTTTTCCCCTTTACCTTTATAGTTGGGTATCCTAAAGAAGAAAGGTTTGCTGGGAGACCTACAGAAAGAGTCAGTGGACTTTATGAAAACCTTAAGGCGAAATGTTCCATGGGTTTCCATGCAGGATGGGAGCAACCTCATTGGTTCTACAAACCTGGTGATGACATTGGATACAAGTAAGTGAAATATAGACTTTTATATCTGTATTGTGCTGGAGAAAAATTATACATTATAATTTAGTAGAAATAGGTGCTGTCATCTATTTATGTTTTGGAGCTTTCTGTTCATATATTTTGAACTGTTTGGAAAAACATATATTCTATTCAGGCATTTCACTTAAAAACAAAATACGCCACCTTTCATCCCAATGAGCATTCAAGATGACTCACAATAACAAGGTAAGGAATATAATGAACAGCAACATTGATAGCACCAGCATTTTTTTTAAAAAAACATCATTTCAAGCTGCAGTGAAATTTGCTCAAAATGAGAAAACACCTGGGTACTGAAACCCATCACGAAAGGCAAAAATATAGCTGACTTTGCCTGGTGCCTAAATTATGACAATGATGTTGCTAGATGAGCATCCCTTAACATGGACTTCCATAACCAAGGTGCAACCACCAAAGGCTGCCTTTTCAGCAGATATCTTCCTGTCCTTCAACAGCAGAGGCATCTGGAGAAGGACCTTTGGTAATGTTCTCAGTTTGCAGACTCATATAGGAGAAGGCACTATTTCAAATACACTGGTTCTAGATCATTTAGAGCCTTAAAAGGATGTCTAAATAACCTACATCATCAAGGAATGTTTGGGCTGAATTGCCACCATCTGTTCAGGTACCTTGACGAAACAGGATATTAACAACAGGCCAATAGTTAGAAACACTGTTATTCTCCTGGGACGATTTCTACTTTAATACAGTTGGAATCACTCTTACTTTGAACAAATATACACTGGACAGCCCAATCCTGAGGGTTGCTGGGGTAGTAGCTGCCAGTCACCTATGTAATAAGATCAGCGCTGGTCCGATCCCTGATTCCCTATTAACGTTCCATTGGAGAAACAAACACCATGCACCCCTCTGCAAGGCAAGACCATATACCGAGTGTGCTGGAGTCCACAGCAACATCACCAACATCCACCAGACACTGGCACCCAATGATGTCCCTCCAAGTGGTATACACCAGTGTTGCCAACCAATGTCTGTCAATGCAGCCACTGCCCCACTACACCAGTCCCCCCTCCATAGAGTGCCAGAAGGCAGGGAGGGAAGACCCAGTGACAGTGCAGTCAACACAGGCATGTGGCCTGAGCATCCCACCCCCCATAGATAGGATATCCAGCCAACCCCTTGACAAGGTTCTGAATGGCAGCAAATGTGCTGCCCACGCACAACTACCCATGCTCCAAGCTACTCACACCCTTCCCCTGAAAACAAAAAAAGACATAAAACAAAAAAAGATACAGAAATGCATAGCCCCCACATCCAAGACTAGCATCCTAACCACTGGGCTGAGACGGTAGTGGCAAAGGGGGTATACCATCCAGCAGTGGCAACCCACTGCAGCTCCGATGCCACCACCAGCCATATGGGGCCAAGCACAGAGCATTGCAAGGAGAGGAATTGCATAGCAGAAAGGCCATGGTTTGATCCCCAGTTGGGGAGAGGGCAGAGGCAGGCTGGCTTTTGCTCCTGCAAACCACAAGAGGGGGAACAGGACGGCCACTTTAAGAAATATGTGTGTAAAGCAGAGGTATACAATTTTAAAAATAAATAAATAAATGAAAGTTCAGGACAAGCCACTGTGACTGCTTTCTGCTTCTTATAGCAGCTGCCCATTTTGCTTGGCTTTTAGTCAATGGGGGGGGAGTGTTTGTGAATTTCCTGCATTGTGCAGGGGGTTGGACTAGATTACCTTGCAGGTTCCTTCCAAGTCTGTGATTCTATGCATGCCCCCAATCCCTGGCATCACCTTTTCAAGACTTACAAGATGAAGAGGGAAGGCAGAAATTATTCTCAGCTATCATTCTGCAGATGTGCTGTAGGCTCAAACCCTGAGAAACTTGCTTTCAGAACGAAACAGACTAAATTGCTGTGATTGATTAGGATCTGTAATTGAACTAATACTACTATACCTATTTTGTTATTCTGGGGAAAGTAGTTGATAAACTTGAACATAATGCTGATCTGTCTCTTTCCAAGTATTTCTAACAAGGAAGAGAACAGGGATAAAACGGAATTTCAATATTACATTGTGTTGACTGGGCTACTTTACAGATATGTTTAAGAAGTCCTAGCAGGGTTTTTTTTTTTTAATGCACTTAAACATTATTTTTCTAGGCCTGGTTTTCGACGCACAAACTGGTTCGAACCTGTGGGTCGTGAATATAAGCAGGTGATGGAAAAAGTGGGTGTGATTGACCTTACTCCATTTGGCAAATTTAGCATCAGAGGCCGTGATTCTGTTAGACTTTTGGACCGTCTGTTTGCAAATGTGGTTCCAAAGGTAAATGGAAACATAATAACTATATCTAGGATCAGATCCCAAGCAATGTGAAAAAGTTTCGTGAGTGTAGCCTCATTCACATGAACTACGAAGGGTACAGAACCTCAGTATGGTGAAGAAGTGGGATCCTGGTGCACCTTCATCCTGGTGCACCTGTTCCATCCCAGGGCACTCCTCGTGTCCATACTTTGGGCATAATGTTGAGATGGGGTCTTTGCGTTTCATGTTCCTTCAGTCTGTGGATTCTGTAATGGTTATTTAACCATCCTTACCAGTGGGTGGTGCTGTTGCACATCTGAGTGTGGGTTGGCTCAGTACTAGTTCTCATTGTTCTGTGTTCTGAGAACAATGAGAGAGTTTAACTCTCTCTTTAACTGTTGCAACTAGAAGCTGTTCTGGAGACCACTTAGAAAATTTTTATAATTCATTATTTTATGAAGAAACTCTTCCAGTTAGAAAATCAACAATGCTGTGGAGACTTTGAAGCACTCTTGAAAAAGCAGGGCTTAAGTATGCCCTGACCTGGATGGCCCAGGCTAGCCCTATCTTGGCAGATTATCAGCTTTGGTCAGTATTAGGATGGGAGACCAGCATGGAATACCTGAGTCACTAGACATACAGGCAACGGAATGTCTCTTGCCTTGAAAACCCTGTGGGGTTGCCATAAGACAGCTGCTATTTGATGGCCAAAAAAAGAGGCTTGCCTAACTCTGTGAACCTCAAGGTCGCTGTTTTATTACAAAGAAACTTCAGGAACAGAATGGAAAGGTAAATTGCTGAATTACAAGTTATTACAACTCTTGGAACAAAAATCTTCCCAGGACTCAACAGGGACATTGGTTTCCTATCTCATTACATATGCTAACTCATTCAGTCCTCAAATATGTATTCTCATACAGAGGAACTATACATCCTCTGTATTTTAGTGTATTTCTTTTTCAGAATAGTATATTAGAATACTGAATGTAATAAAAGGAATATTGGAATCTTTGGCTGACATATAACACTATACCCACCTCAAAAAAAAGAAGAAGAAAATGCTGTTCAGTGACCTCCATGCCTGAAAGGAGTGAATGGAGAGTCTCAATCTTATTTTGACATATTTATTGCTATACAGCTGTTGACATTATAACCTTTGTTTGTTATTTAGTTTTGTCTTCACATATCTTAAAACATCTTCATCATGTTACATGTTAATTTGCTGTTCAGCCCCACCTATAAGTTTGACCCTTACTTTCCTTCCAACGTATTTGAAAAAGTGTGCGTGCACACAAAAGCTCATACCTTGAATAAAACTTTGTTGGTCTTAAAGGTGCCACTGGACTCTAAATTTGTTCTACTGCTTCAGACCAACACGGCTGACGACCTGGATCTATCTGTGCTAGATTGCAGAAGAAATTTGCATCAAAGATTTGCAAACTGTATCTACTGTACAATGTTTTAATTTTTGCTCTTTTTAATTTTACAGGTGGGTTTCACAAATATAAGTCATATGTTGACTCCAAGAGGTAGAGTTTATGCTGAGCTTACAGTCTCTCATGTGAAGGAAGGGGAATTTTTGTTAGTTACTGGTTCTGGATCAGAGCTTCATGATTTGAGGTAAGTATACAATATGCCCACTCAGGTTTTAAACATCCTTTGTGGTTCTTCTCGGTATGTGGAAGAGGTGACTGTTCAGGAAAGTCAAAACAAAGCTCACCTGCGCACAAGCATGTTGGGGCTTTCTCAGTCAGGGCTGAGATGATGTACAATTAAACACACTGCAAGTGTTTGTCTTTTTCCAGAAGAATTTATTTATTTACTTCACTTATAATTGCCCGTTCTTACTGAGAGGCAAGGCTGTTTACATAATAAAAACAATGAAATCAAAACAGTATAATACAGTTCCCAGAAGTAGCTTGGTCCTGGCTTAGTTTTTGTTCACCAGCAAGAATCTGGGTTTGTTTAGTAGGCTGAGATGGACTGTTATATGTTAGATGTAAAGACAAGGATTATTCAGATAAAGAAAATAACAGGCACAAGGAACAACTTGGGTAACAGTTAAAGTTTGGACATTAAAACGTAGATTGTAAACATTAGAGCTGGAAAAAAATTATGGTCATCTCCCCCCCACAACTGTTGTTGGGGGGGGGGACTTGTCAGATTTAGCAGTGAAATGCTTAATTTTAATAAACTCTATATAGATGGATTGAAGAGGAGGCTGTGAGAGGACAATATAAGACTGAGATAACAAACGTTACAGAAGAACTAGGAGTCCTTGGAGTAGCGGGTCCATATGCACGGAAAGTCCTCCAGAAATTAACAACAGAGGACCTCAGTGATGCTGCATTTAGTTTTCTACTATCCAGGAGCTTAAAGATTTCTGGTATTCCTGTTACTGCAATTAGAATTTCGTACACAGGTAAGTGGTGAAGAAAACAGGGACGGTTTCAAAAGCAGAATAACTTTTTTTTAGTATTTGTGCATGCGTGCGTGACTTCTGGCAACCCCTAGTGGGGCTGGGAGGCAAGGACGTTCAGAGAGGTGACTTGCTGCCTGCCTCTGTGTCATGGCTGTGGTATTCCTTGGAGGTCTCCCATCCAAGTACTTGCGAGGTTCGGCCCTTCTTAGCTTCTGAGATCTGACGAGATTGGGCTTGCCTGGGCTATCCAGGACAGGGCCAACTCGTACTTTTTAAAGTAATGCTCTCAGGCCAATTTCACTGTGCAAAAAACACCCTTTTTCATTTAATGTCTGTTTTCCTATCAAACTTGTAAGTTATGATAGTGACAAATTAATTGTAGATGTATTTCAAGATGTTAATCTTCAATTTATAACAGGTGAACTGGGCTGGGAGCTGTACCACAGACGAGAAGATTCTGCAAGTTTATACTCTGCCATCATGGAAGCAGGCCAAGAAGAAGGAATTGACAACTTTGGGACATATGCACTGAATGCAATGAGGCTAGAGAAGGCTTTTCGTGCCTGGGGAGCAGAGGTTTGAAAATAGCAGTGTTATTTTTTTCCCCTCTTTGTTATTTATGTATTATTTTGCTAGGTTTTTAGTAATTTGATGGAAAATGAGAAAGGAAGGGGCAATGAGTATGATTAACTTGTTTATTTTACAGAGAAAAATGCTTTCTATTACATTTATGGTACAGATTTGCATGCGTTTCTCTCCTGTTGCCCTAACATGGATGGCCCAGACTAACCTGATCTTGTCATATCTCAGAAGCTAAGCAGGATCAGTCCTGGTTAGTACTTGGATGGGAGACCACCAAGGAAGTCCAGGGTCGATATGCAGAGGCAGGCAATGGCAAACCACATCTGTTAGTCTCTTGCCTTGTAAACTATGGTGTCACCATAAGTCAATGACAACTTGACAGCACTTCCCACTTTTCATAGTATAAGTTGGAGAGTGTTGTTTGGTTTCAGGGTCAAGAAAGCTCCAACCAGACATGGCTTCAAGATATTGTGACTGGAACTCCTATGGTTCTTAGAGTAAGCAGCAGTTCAGAAATCTCCCATCATTGTTTTTAGTTTGACTTGAAGTCACTGTGCTAAGGTTGGCTGGAGTTCTTACTTCGAATAGCCTCTGAAAATTAAGCTCTGTCTCATTTCCATGTAGACAGTTTTGGATCTAGAGGCTCAGTCTGAAACGTTAAACCTATTTTAATAAGCAACTGGAAGAAGAGGCAAGAAAATAGTATTGTCTTTATAGAAAGCAACTTGAAATCAGTGAGATGTAAACATTTATAGCTTTGCACAAGATTTCAGCCTTTATTTTTGAAATGTCTCTCATTCTGGTAGAGAGTCAAAAACTGGCAATGCTGTGTGAAACCTTTTTTAAAAATTTTCATCTGTCCCCAGGCCATTTTATTTCAACAATGGGAGTAAAATAGTTCAAAAAGTACCCTGAAAGCATTTTAGCCTCTGTGTTATATTCCTACATATCTCTTTAGAAACATTAACCCAATATCCCATCTCAACACAGTAGATGTTGTCTGTGCCCCAAACTTCATAGCTACCAAAGTAAAACTCAACAAAGGATTCAGAACATAGGCATTGTTGCAGGTGAGAGAAGACTGGGAGGGCTTTTGTTTGTTTGTTTTAAGAACTACCAATGGGAAACCTTCCCCAGCAGATATGTATAACACAGGAGAGCATTCCAAAGAACTATTAAAAGGGTAAAACACAAATGGTAAGAAAATGTTTTATGTACTTATTCTTGGTTTTTAACTTTTAATTACCTACTAGAATCATAGAATCATAGAGTTGAAAGAGACCTCCATGGTCATCTAGTCCAACACCCTGCACAATGCAAGAAATTCACAAATACCTCCCCCCCCCACCCCCACTGACCGCTGTTCCATGCCCAGAAGATGACAAAAATCCTGCAGGATCCCCAGCCAAATTGGCCTGGAGAAAAATTGCTTCCTGACCACAAAGTGGCGACCAACATTTCCCTGGGCATGTAAGAAAGGGCCATTGAGACTGAATGTCTTCTTCTGTTGTAAGCCGCCCTGAGCCTTGCTGGCAAGGAAGGGCAGCCTAAAAATCTAAATAAATAAATAAACAGATAAAAATAAAAAGCACAGGCTTGACGGGTAATATGTAGACCGCACAGTAGCACATTTATTCCATGATAACTTGATCACATTGAGAGGATGTTCTTCTTTGTTCTTCTCTGGAGTTCCTTTCTTGAGTCAGCCCTCATTTATTTAGTCATAGACATCAACTGAATAAAAGTTGACAAAATCAAAAATAATATCTGGCAGTGTGTTGTTCTAATATTTTTGCAAAAATGTGTTCTTATAACAGGTGCTTCTTACGAAATTTATTTCAGATTTCTTCAGTCCTAATCCTGTCACATTGCTTATTCGTTATATATTTTAATGCCCAGATCATCCTTTTCCTATGCACAAGAGGTTGCTGCAGACACAAAAACCTCAGCATCCAGAAGCATCCTCCAATTCCACTCACTGGTTTGGTTCAGACCTAACTAGTTTATTTTAACTATGGTTGGTTTGTGAAATCAGGATTTGACCCCCAGACAATCACCCAAATTCAGGTGTACCTCAACATATACTGGTTTCATTTCCTCATTTCCTATTCTCTGTAGCCTAGGTGGGCATTGTGAGAGAACAAGCCAGGATTAAACCAGACATCACAAAAATGCATTGTAAGGTTGACTGTGGTTACTAAACCAACTTTAGATCCTGGTTTCAGATCCTGGCTTGACAGACCTTAACTAACCATTGTTAGTGGAATGCCCTGCATTCAAAGAATCACACTAACCGTTGTTAGTTTAATGAAACCATGGTTTTGCACAGAGTCTCAACTGAGTTATGGGGGGGAGGGGTAAGTAAGGTAGATATGCAAATAAGAGTCTTATTGGACTTGATGGAAAAAATTGTCTTTTTCTTGGTTTACTGTTACTGTTCTATGCCTTTGTAGACTTATTTATGTCTTGAAATATCTCATATTTTATTTTATATTAAATGTTGAAGAAATATATACCTGTTTTGTGGATTAGGAGTATTGCAGTACAAATGCCACTGAGAATTACAAGTCTTTTAGCAAAACAGATTTTATTTACCAGATGTAAGAAAAGAAATGATTTGAAATCTATGTGAGAAATTAGAAAGAAGTTATGAAAATATGCCACCTAGTGGTCATCACAGAATAACTCTCTCTTGTCTTGTACCTTTCTTAAACAGATGAATTGTGACACCAATCCTTTGGAAGCTGGGCTGAAATATTTTATAAAGTTGAATAAGGTAGACGTACAATATTTTCAGAGCTATATAATTATTGGTGAAATCTTATAAGTGTTGTAAATAAACATTGTACATTTTAAATTTACCATATAAAAGTCTTCATTTTTTAGTATTTATGAAAAGTATTAATTAAAAAAGAGCTCCCCGACAACTTCAAAAGGGGTAAAACATTGTAACCATTACTGTTCTGACACACAAATATATATATATATATATAGGTGCAAGTTTACAATTTTAATAGCTCTCCTTTTCTAGGATTTAAGGACAATTGCTCACACAGTTTATATATATATATATATTGCATCATGGTATGTTCCTTACTTTGGGACACTTCAGATGGTAATTGTATATCTTCTCTACAAAACAAGACCAAATTTCCAGAAGTTTCTTGGTAAGAGCGGAATACATATGTAGTTGTTTTGATGGGCTGCTTGGTCCTCAAATGTTTGATTGATTCCTTTCATCTTTGGAATCTGCATCCTTTCTGTTCATGCAGCTGTAAATATAGTGTGTAATGCAGGCAACATATGTGATCTTCTAATAGGTGAAATATTTTTACTTGGTGAGTACATTAATGAAATACAAGTGGGGGGCCCGTGAAACTTGTGGGGGGAATCCCATTCCTTCCACCTTACTTCTCTAGGTCTGTCACCCCTTCTCCCTGCTGCCACCCCTTTTCTCTCTCTCCCCCATGCCTCTTTCTCTTTCTGCCATCCAGCCCATCAGTCTTTCTGTTTTTGCCTTTATCCCATCACTCTTTCTCTTTCTGTCTCCCTGCGCCATCATGCTTTCTCTATTTTTGTGCCCCACCACATCACTCTTTCTCTCCCTTTTTGCTCCCTACCCCATCGCTCTATTTTTCTGCCATCAATCTCCCAGCAGCCTACCTGCTTCTTCCCCCTCACAGCAGCACCGGCAGCGCTCCCGCCTCCCTTTGTGCTTCCTCCTCCCAGCAGTGGCATTCCCAGCTGCCCAGCTGCTTCCTCCACCCCAACAGTAGCAGCACTCCCAACCGCCCACCTGCTTCAGCAGTGGTGCTCCCAGCCGCCTGCTCAGTGATGACACTCCTGGCCGCCCACCTGGTTCCTTCCCCCCAGCAACAGTGGTACTCCTCCTGGCTGCCCTCCCTCCCCATCTCTGAGCCTGGCATGACTGCAGGCCCCACCACTCACCTTGGAGCTGGCCACAGAGGCAGCAGTGTCTGGGAGCCGCCCCAAGCCTGGAGTGGGTCCCAGTGTCCACCACTGCAGTTGGGGCTGGAGCGGCTCCTGGCTCTGCTGCAGCCACCATCAGAACATAACATAAGAACATAAGAGACGCCAGTGTTGAATCAGGCCAAAGGCCCATCCAGTCCAACACTCTGTATCACACAGTGGCCAGAAATACCAGGTGCCATCAGGAGGTCCACCAGTGGGACCAGGCTCCTGGGCTCTGCTGCAGCCACCACTGGGCTTGCTGCATTTCCCAGTGGCCACTGCAGAATCACAGTACGTACATGTCTGTGCATGTACAGAACACTTTTTTATATTGGGGGAATTTAAACCCCCAATATATATTTGTTAAGATTTCAGATTTTTCTGCAAACCCCAGAGTCCCACGACTTGTAGAAATATCTGATTAGCGTCACTGTGTCCCTGATCCACAATTTTAGATAACTACAGATGGGGCCACACTTTTGCTGTTAGATAAATTGATATATGAATTCTGCTTATTAAAAAATACCGACATGCAAATCATGAACACGTTGCTTGAAATGAACATAAGAAGTATATTGCTAAATTAAAGTCCAGTCCAGTATTTTATTTATTTATTTTAAGCATTTAAAATATAAATATGTATTAAATATTCAGAACAATTAACTAAAACATAATATAAACACATAAAAACACCAACAGGGGAGGGCTAATAAGAGTTAGTAAGGAACTGAAACAAAAAAGGTCTTCACCCACTGGCAGGAGACAACAAGAGAGACAGACAGACAGTTCTCCGTGCAGAGGGAGTTCCAAAGTTTCAGCACCACAAATGAGAGGGCCCTTTCTCAGGTTGCCACCCATATAGCCTCAGATGGCAGGGGCACCTGAAGCAGAGCCTCTGAAGGTGACTGGAGTGGTCGGGTAGGTTCCTATGGGATTAGAAAGTCCTTCAGATATTATGGCCCCAAGCCAGCAGGGGTTACCTAGTTGTCTGTGGATTACTTGCTTGTGAGATGTGGTAGTCATCCCTTATTCTTTGTCCCCATCATCTTGTTCTCAAAAATATCCAGCCTCTATACATCTTCTTCCATAGTTGCCTTTCCTGAAACTAAGGATGTCACAGAAATGTCACAGAAATGCTTTAACTTTAAAGCATAGAATAGGTCCTTTAATTCAGGGGTCCCTTTAGACTTCATTGATTTCAATACAAGTTGCCTCTCAGTAGTGCTGTGATCACACAGGGGTCAGGCATTGTGGTTCACAGTCAAGCACCTGCCGGTTTGGCAGATGTATTGCAGAAGGGCAATTAAACTGCTCCATGGGGAATATGGAAAAGTCCCCACAACATCATTGTCATCACTTCATTCAATACAGAACCCTTAACAGTATGCCCTCTACACTTACGTCTCAGCTGTATTACGCTTTGTGTTTGCAGATAACATTGGCAGAAAGACAATATTGCTTATTTTTCATTGTATTTTTCTTCTTTCAGGTTTAAACTTGATCCATGGGTTTTCAAAATATAATTAGCATATAGAACAAAGAAATCAGTACAATAATCAAGAGCAAAATTTTTACTTTCCTAGTGTAAAAAGCAAAAGAGAAGTACCATGCAATCTTTTTACTGCCAGAGCGAGCTACTTAAGTCATAATATACATGGCAAAAAAATCTGAGATCTTCATCAATATAAAATTTCTTGCACAATGTCAGAAGCAAGACCTTAAAAGTCAACAGTTGTGTTCCCGTGCTGATAGATTTCATAGGAGTAGTATAAAAATATTCTTAATTAGAGACTGAAAATTTCCAGGGGAAAAAACTTTCCTTCAGTTTTCTACAGTGAATATTTGTGGGATAAAATTGAAATATATGCAGTACTTATAATGCAGTCCTAAGCAGAGTTAGACCCATGTTAGGCCATTGAAGTAAATGGGCTTAAAAGAGTATCACTGTTATTTATTCATTTGCTTCATTTATATCCTGTCTGTCTCCCCAATAGGAGAATTGTTCTCCTCTCCTCCATTTCATCCTCACAGAAAACCTGTAAGGAAGGTATGACAACCCTCTTCCCTTTCTCTCCCTCAAAAGCAAGATTTCCCCTCAGCTTTTATTTGCTTTGCTGACTGAGCAGCCCTAGTGGTCTGTTTTCTTCTTTCTTGAAGAATTCTGGCTGCCCCACCCTGTCTCAGTATGGTATTTTACTGCTGGCTCAGGCCAGGAACCTGAGTGAAGGGTCAGAATCACCTTTTACTTAAACCACTGGAAATGGCACTTGAGATGTTTTGAAATTAAAAATTAACAAAATATTTTATTCAACATAGAGGGGAAAGGTCAGAGAAAATCAGGGGTAAAATTTCTGAGGTAAAATCAATACATGCACAGACTTTCATTCTTATGTTTCAGGCTAATGAGAATTTCTTAAGCTATTTATAGTGACTTAAATCTTTATGTGAAGAGGCTTTTGTTCCAGTGTTTTCCCCAAACACTTCAGTATACTTTCTTTGAGTAATTGCTAACTCTTTTTGTTTCCAGAAGGCTTGGTGCACTTTTTCCAGTACCCAAATGCCTTCTCTTGAAACACCAGTACTTGTCTTGAGTTTTTAACTGACTCTTAAGGTCTCTAAAGGCAGTTTCTAACCACACAAGACCAGGGATCTATGCACTCTTCAGAGCTAATTCGCTAATTGACTGGGTAGGGAATTTTCTTTCTCTGCTCAGCTGATGCTAACAGTCAGGCCTCTTGGAACAGCCTGTCACTCAAGGCTCTCTGGCTCTGTGAAGAATTAACCCTTCGCGGTCCTTTATCTGTTTACACAGCACTTCTAAGCTTTTATAAGTGCAGTCCATCACTTGCCCTCCTCTCCTCCATTTCATCCTCACAACAACCCTGTAAGGATGGTTAGGCTGAGAGTGTGTGACTGACCCAAAGTCACCCAGCAGACTTCCATGGCAGAGCAGGGATCTGAACTTGTATTTCCCAGTTTCTAGTCCAGCTCTCTAACCGCTGCACAACACTGGCTCTCTGTTAGGATTGCACTGTTAGGTTTTCTTGACAATCGTAAACTTATTTCACTAGTTCAACAATATAAAATGCATCATTAATAACTTAGCATATAAAATTATATTGTTTGGCGTATTTATGAAATTTAAAGGTATAAATGTCTTAAGCCATAACTCTAAGAGCACGTTCCTGGGAGTAAGCCTTGTTGAATAAAATAGGTCTTACTTCCTTATGTACCTGCTTAGGATTGCTCCCTTAGGTTTCTTCTGTGTTTGTGTCTACAGTAGGGCAGTGTTACCACTTAACAGCTCAGAAATATCTGTTTCATAAAATTTATTGAGCTATGCTTATTCTCATAACATAAAGAACAGTGCCGCCTTGTGGATGTAAATCATTGTAATGAGATGCTTTTATTTGGAAGGGTAAATAAATAAAACACCAAGAGCTACAAAATATATTTTAAAATTCCTATACGGAAATGCGTTTTATATACGTATTAACGTGAAACTACCGCAAGGATCATGCTACGTGTCATCTCAGTGTGAGTACATGGGAGCAAAATACCTTCATGTATGATGGTCATGCTACAATTAGCGTACGGCATTCATCTTAAATTTTATACATAAATGCCTTCTGAATGAGAATTTTGTAATATGAGAAGCAGCACTTAGTTTGGTGTTTCTAGACAAAATAGTAGACTAGAGACTCCGAAGTTCTGGTACTGGCAGTTGTATTGATAAGGTATCTCCATTTCCCCAACTATACAAACTGCACTTTGGAATTCCTGCTTTTATCACAGTCACCACCA